GGTAACCTCAGCCCTCTGCCACGCCTCGACAGCCCATTCAGTTGGAAGGGGCATGAGTTATTACAGAGAATTTGGGTCCTCGGGGTGGTAAAAGCTGTGGTCCAAAAGCGCTGCTGGTGAACGGGGTGGAGAGGGGGGGCAAATATTACCCATCCCCTAACTTTAGGCCTCGGTTTACAGCGACTTGAAAGACGTAGCCTAGGGCTAATACAGCACGGGCCGCGGGAGCAGATGGGGAAGGGAGCAATAAACAGACATTTTCAGCGGGTTTTCCCCCCGCGGCTGCCTTCGGACCCCCCTGTCCCCCCCAGCCCGATCGAGACGCTGCCGCCAGCCCCGGGCCGCGAACCCTCCCACGGCCCCCCCGCGTGTCCTGCGCGCAGTCCCGCGTGTTTCCCAGCTCCAACCAAACTCCCCCCGGCCACGGACCCCGTTCCGCCCGCCACGGCGCGGACCCCCCCCCCCCCCGCGGAACGGGGCTCAGCGAAGGGCCCGGGGGGGGGTGGGGTGGGGTGTTTGGGGAAATCGGTCCCGTCCCCACCGGGCACCGCGACCCTCCGCCCCAGCGCAACTTACCCCTCCGGCGGGCGGGCAGCGGCTCCGCGCCCCGAGGGGGCTTCTCTGCCGCCCCCCCCCACGCGTGGGCGCAGCGGCGGGGCGAGGGGAGCGCGGCCGCGGCGCACACTCGGCGGCCGCTCCGCCCTCACCTGCCCAGGTGCGCCGGGCGCAGCCGCCCGCCCCGCTCCGCCCCGCTCCGCCCCTGCCCGCGGGGGGGGCTCCGCGCCCGCGGGGGGGGCTCCGCGATGCGCTCCGCGGGGCTGCGCCAGCGACGTGGCTGTGTGTGTGTCCGTCCCCCACCCCGCCCGGGGGTCTCGGGGGCGAGCGGAACATCGGTTTACCGCGTCGCTTTTCTTTCAAAACCGGGGGATTTCGGAGAGAAAGCCAAACCGTCCCTGGAAGGGGGGGGTTCGCGGTTCAAAGCGGTTTTGGCCCAGCCGGGCCATAGCGCGGAGCAGCGGCGGGACTCAAAGCCACCCGGGCTTCACCCAACACCACGGGCACGCAGTTTTCTCTGAAAAGCAACAAAACACACATCTCCTCCGTCTCATCCCAGCTCCCACCCCTACCCCGGGCTCTGCGGGCCCCGCTGCCATCCCTGCGTTCCAGGTCTTTTCCTCGTAGGTGGAGAACCATGACTCAGTGCTGAATCTTGGTTTCAAGAGACCGGACAATACTTTGCTATTCAGTTTCACCGAACCAGAAACAAGCAGTGGGAATTCCCCTTCTCCTTCCCATCGTGAACGCGATGGATAGTGCTGAGTCCTGGTTTTGGAAAGGCTGACTTACATCTGAAGCTCAATTCTGTTGTCAGACTTTGGAGCTGTGCAAAATTTTGAAAAAATCTTCATACGCAGATAAAATGTAATTCTGCATTTTTCTTGGAAAGTTTGCCTTGCAAGTTACGGAGCGCAAGATAAACGTTTCAGGCCTCATTCATCACTGAAATGTTGCTACTCAAAGGCAATGTTTAGCAGGAGTTTGTCACCACATAATAAAATCTTTTGGTCAATAAGCAAAAGACAGTAGGTGACAGTCACAGGTTGGCATTTTCTTTGTGGGATAGCACTTCCATGGTGGATTTTAGATGGGTTTGGTTAGCGGTACCTGACCTTTTTTGATATGCAAAACAAGGGACAGCGGCTCCTGTAGTAACACCTTCTACCCTATCGCTATTCCTGCTGGATAAAAACACGCTTAACAGTATGGCCAGTTTGGTAAGTGACTGGGAAGAGACGCGCGGAGACGCTGGGCTGAGCTCCCAGCCAAAGGCTGAGGGATCTTTGATCTCTCCTCAGTCGGGTCAGCACAAAAGCCGCCGCTCATCCTCGCCGCATTCCTCCTGTCCGCGTGTCCGTCCTGCCTGGCGACAGGGAAACTTAAGGATGCTGCAGGCTGATGCTCAGGGAGCTTTGGAAGCAGCCACCAACAGCGACCCCCGGGCGGTCTGCGACAGGGGGCTGGGAGCCACCCCGGGCAGAGCTCTGCTCTTTTTAGTCCCCTGTAAGGACACGTGGGTTTGCCAACCCACGAGAGGGGTCCTGTGGCAGGTCAGGGCTATTTAAAATAATGGAGCAATGCAGCAAAATGACTGGGCGAGGGCTGCTCCGGCGTGGGGGAAGGATCTAGCCTGGCCTACAGTTTCACTGACGTTGGTGCTCTCCCGCCGGCACCCTGCCGCCTTCCTGACAGGTAACGTGGATGCCAAACAAATGAGTCTTCCCAGCCCTCTGCAGGGTTGGCGTTGTTTTTTTTTTTTTTTTTTTTTTTTTTTTTCTTGAGTTTCTACCAGCCTCTGCTGAAGCATGTGGCAGCATGTTGTGTTAGTGAGCTGATGGGAAATAAGCTGTCTTTTTCCATGCTCTTGGCTGGGAAACTCAGCAGCTTTTGAGCTGTATAGGTGATAATCTAGGGACAGCTCATTAGACAGGATGGGTAATCAGAATTTGCCTGTTTGAAACTAATCATCCCCAGTGTTCACGGACATAATATACAAAGCATTGATCCTAACCCTTCAGGCAGCCAAACAACACCAGACTCTTTCTCGTAGTGTTTTCTAGAAATCAGCCTTTTTATGTTTAGTTCTCTTTGCTTATATTTACCTCTACCTGCATAGTTTTTTTTCAAATCAAAGGAAGAGATCCTTTAGTTGATAAACTGTACTTCATATAGTTACATTCTGCTGGCTGAGAGACAGCAGCTCTTTCAGTACAGTCTGCAGAGCACACGTTTTGGACAATGAGAGTACATGGAGAGGAATTTTCATACCAGGAGCTATAGGATTTACTCTATTTCAGTGCCAAATTAACATCAGTACTTTTATTAACATGATTGTTATGTCATGATACCTGCAATAGCACCAACTAGGCCTTGTAACCCAGGTCTCTCGCAGTCCTTTGTTCCTAGCTGGAAAAGATTGTAGTCATCAAAACAAAAGGGAACCATTTTCTCTCCTGGGAACAGATCACTAAGTTCCCATAAGGCGAAACAAAATTATGCAATGAGGCAAGACAACGTCCTGGGCATGTGGAGTCTTGTGTGCTCTCAGCACTCACATTCCAGCGCGCAGTGTCGGTGCAGGAGAGCGGCACAAGGTGGTGGGAGGCTTCACACCAGCGCGTGCACAGCCCCCCGGCTGTGCTGCAGCAAAAAGTGCAATGAGCCCCCCCCCACCCCGGTCCCCCAGCAGCACCTCTGGGTCCAGAAAGCTGTTTGTGATCCAGAGAGAACCCATGTCCTCACCAGATATTAGCCAAAACGATTCAGGAAATATTGAGGGGAAGAAAGTTATTTCTTTATATGCTGTTTGAAACTGAGCATGGGGAAATGGAGAGCACAACAGAACTATTTTATAAATACCACAGTGACTGTGGCTGCCGAAGACTTCTTTCGGGTAGGTCTAGCAAAGTAGTAAATGCTGAGGGGTAAACCCAGCATAACTTTTTCTGATGAGCCAGACTTCAGGCTGTTCTGCTGCAGACAGGTGATCATCGAGGCAGGGGCTAAAGTTTGGCTGAAGCGTTTACAGAAGGAAAAACTGAGTCTATTAATTATGTTGCATTCTTACAGGCACAAAAATAGACAAACAAGATTCCTCTACATTATTAGATAAAAATGTACCTTTTTGTTGAAAGGGAGAAGTCTTAACCTTTCTAGGAACTCCTCTGGTCCCTCTCCTCCATCTCCATACTTCTGCTGCATTACCTGTATCTGCTTCTTGCTCAAGACTCTCAAGGGAAACCATGTATTGCTTGGGTATCCTTATGTACAGAAGGGCAAAGTTACACTGTACTCCTGCAAATCTGTATGTGCGTATATGTATATACACACAACACCACTGGTAGGTTACTTACAGGTGCGAGAAGATTCAGAGCAAACCCTATTCTTACAGTGGAGTATGAATTACTATACTGTTCTACATTATCAGGTTTTATACAGATTCTTAACTGGTGTTTTTCCATGTGTGAAACTCTTCCTCTCAAACCAATTAAAATAAATGCTCCAAAAAAAGTGAAGTGAACAGCTTAAGTCTTTCCAGGCCTTAGCATTATTATAATAGTAAGTCTACTGTTACCTATTAATACTGCTCCAATCCTCTTAAAAGAAGAATCCCATCTGGATGTCAGCCTGACTCAAACACATTTATAGCTACAGGTCATTTCTTTCCAGCTGACACAGATAATGGCTGGATTCAGAGCACCTGGTGTGATGTGAATAAAAGCTGGTGGCTCCAGTAAGGAAGGAAAAGGCTGGTAGGATCCTTGCAGAGGGGGGGGTGGGAGCTTTGGGAGAGGAGGGCTGTGGGGGGCTGCTGCCCAGCAGAAGGAGGCAGGGGTCGAGCTGTAGGGTGTATCTGTAATTAAAGTGTAAAGTGATGTTCAGTAGTAAAGGTAAGCAGAGGGAATGTTTCAGTGGATAAAGACGCAAAAGGGGGAAGGGAAGTAAGAAGAGCTCAATGCTTTTAAAAATAGGGAAATAAAATATTCCTGCTATTTTTAAGAATGAATTGTGAGACTGAGAGAGATTTGCATTTATGTGCATTTATTATTTCTCTCAATCATTTTATGCAGAGTAAGGCCTATAGTAGGCATTCAATTAGCTTCATGCATTAGTGTTTTTTTTCCTGTGAGTTATGCTAGTTGTATGTGCATATTTTTTCAGGATTTGCTTTCTGTAATTGTTGTTAATTACTCCACCTTATTTTCCTGGAACTTTGAGTATCCCCCCACAAGTAATACATGTTAGTATTGACAATATAATGCTAGGGAAGTTCACTTAAAATCCCTTTTAATTTCTAGAAAAACTACAGTAAAGTGAGTGAGGTTCTGTGTCATGTGTAAAGGGAACTTTGGTTCTCAGATTCTTGGACATGACGGTATTAAAGTGCAGCAGGACCCTGAGCCTCTGGAGTCTGCTCTTAAATGGGGCATAGCTCAGAACATCTGAAGGTCTCTGTGACTCATAGGTGGGAATCTCCTAATGGTCTTAGTTATTTTTATACGTGCCTGATACCACATGTTATACTGCCCTAAAGCAGAGAAGCAACTCTGCAATCACTAAGTGGGCACGCAAAAAAGAAGGTGAAATAGTAAGAGACAATATTAACATCAAATAAAGGTACAAGACAGCGAGAAGAAAAAGAACAGAGAGAAAGCAACTAAAGGTGATAAACCAACAAGAGCAGCAAAGGATTTCAGCAGCATTTTCCTTTTGTTCCTTCTTTTTTTTTTAATCTCGCTTTACAGAGCGAAATGGGACAGCAGTTTGCCAATGCTGAAGGAGAGCAAGGAGAGATTGATGTTGCAGAGTTGCAGGAATGGTATAAGAAATTTGTGGTTGAATGTCCCAGTGGGACCCTCTTCATGCATGAATTCAAGCAGTTTTTTGGGGTCCAGGATAACCGTGAAGCAGCAGAATATATTGAAAACATGTTCCGAGCTTTTGATAAGAATGGGGTAAGTGGTGAGGTGTTTTTATAATTATTTGTCTATTAACTTTCATGTCTGTCTTCTGTAATTTGGAGGTGTTTTGGTGCAGTTCCCACCCTTGTTACCATGCCTTGTGAGACTAAGGCAAGGGCAGTGGACCTGCTGGAGCAGGAGAAACAGCACAAGCTGCACTAGTCTGTATGGGCTGGTATGGATTTATCTTCTCATAAAAGTGTACACAAATTAAAGATAGAATGTCCCCTTAATGGAATAAAAATGGGTTAAAGGGTTGAAATTGAGGCAGTTACATTTTGAGACAGTATTGTTGAAAGATTCTTATGTAGCCAAGGTTGCTACATGGAAAAAAATTGTTATGATAGAGAAGGAATGACAGTGGAGGAAAGTCCTACTCAGGCTTGTGATACACTGGAGGAAGTGTGTATATATACAGTACGAACAGGTGGCATGTAACAAAATATTGATCTTAGCTGCTCAAAAGTGAAGGAATGCTGAACAATTCAGACATTCTGGTTTTGATTCCCTTTGCTGTATTTGTCATCAGACACCTGGGAAAAGTGGGCTTTCTGGTTTAGTAGCAGTTCATGCATACCCATGTACTGGTGCAAAAGATAGCCTAATACTAGCCTGTGACATTTTAGGTGCCTTTCTCATCTTGAAATGGGTAAGCAATGCTTGCCAAATGGTTCAGGTTTTTTTCCTGAAGCTCTTGATCGTATTCAAAGTATGGGGTTGTTTGTTGCTGTGTATCAGTGTAGGAAAAGGGGAGGTAAGTCTGTAATCTCTCAGATATACCACTATCCTTTAAGCTTCCTTTGAAACCAGTAGCAAAATCATATTGAAGTGACAACAAAAGTCAGTTTGTGAGAAAGGATAAAAAAAGCTACAGAAGATGTGGGCAGGTCAGATTTGTCTCAGAATTTGAAGTTGGCAAAACCCAAATTCTTGAAAAACAGAGCATCCAGGTGCAAATGAAAGCTGTGCAGAAAGGGTTGCAGAGCAAATGGTGTGCATAGCAGGCAAAGTCCCATTCCTGGTTTATAGTTTTCCTAAGATGACTGAAAATCTCTTTTTAAGAGATGCCAGTACTTGCATGTATTAAGAACACTAAATTAGGCCTGCATTCATGTTTTTGCTTAAATCTGCTGATAGTATATAATCAGTTGAGCAGGACCTAATGATCTAAAGGGTTATTAGTAATACGGTAAGAAAATAAAAACAATTCCTCAGTAGTCTTTATATGCTTGCTGGCCTTCCAAGCCCAGCAGTAGCAGTTTTTGCTCCCAGGACTGCAGGGCGTTGGGGTGCCTTTGGCAGAGCGTGCTGGGGAGGGGGTGCGCAGCCCTGACTTTTGGGGGGGGGGGGTTTGCTAAGTGGGTCGGGAGGGCTGAAGGTGATGTGGGGCCAGGCTTAGCCCTGGGATGGTGCTGACCTGTGCCAGGGCCATCTGCTGCGGGCTGCCGAGGGAGCCCTGCATCCCTCTGTGGTCTGTAGGAGGATGAACACCTGATGTAAATCCCTTATTGCCGCTGCTCTTGCTGCCTCCTCCTGAGTGGTGGCATTTTCTTTGTCATAGTCTTCCTCAGATGAATCAAGACCAAACAAGGGGGAAGGATGGAACAGTGGGGTTAATGGTTGGGTGCTGGTCTTTGCGGTGAAGCAGCTGAGGTCATTGAGAATGGCAATCCCTTCCCAAAAATCAGTATCGCCTGCACTGATCCTCATCTGCCTCCCCATCTTCCCTGTCATCTGTGTTGTCTTGGGGTATCTGAATTGCTCATTTCTGGAGTGCTGGTGGGTGTACCCCCTTATTGCACTGCCGAACTGCTTTGCTCTCCTCTCACACCCCTTCTGAACTCTTCCTTAGTGCAGAGGGGTATGGCTGTGCTTACTGATGGTCTTGAACTGGCACAAATCTTCTGTAAAGTGGCAAATAAATAGCTGTCCTGTGGTTTATCTTTTTGTCAGTTTTTATCCAAGCATTGTAAGCAGACTTCTATCAACCATACCCAGTTAAGTGTTATTCAGCGGCTACTTTTCTGTTTCTACAGGATAATACCATTGATTTTCTGGAATATGTAGCTGCCTTGAATCTTGTTTTACGAGGAAAACTGGAACACAAGCTGAGGTGGACATTCAAAGTATATGACAAGGATGGGAATGGCTGCATAGATAAACCTGAGCTGCTGGAAATTGTTGAGGTAAGTAGGCATTGCCTAATCACTTAAGCAATCACTGTTCTTTGGCAATGTAATGATGTATATGGGCTTTCTGATAATTGGGTTTCAAGGCAGCTGTGGGTAGTGATGAAGTGAAAATGCCTGGCCTTGGTGAAAGGGTGATGTGCTCAGGGGTTTGGTGGCTGAGGGATCAGTTATATCCACCATAGCCCGGCTGCTGCTGAAGCTGTCCAGAAATGCAGCATCTGGGTGCTATTGTGGAGCTCCTGTATCTCTGCTCTGCCTTTCCTTTCGACCTTTTTACACTAAGATTCATTGCACTGGCCAGCAGAAGAGTTTCACCCCATGCCACTGACAGGAGCCAAGTTTCCTCCATGAGTAGCTGGTGAGAATAATGGAGAGGCACAAATTAGTGCAGAAATCCCTTTTGTAATGATTCTTTTCTAGGTTTCTGTTCTGCACTTAGCTTTAGTGACTGTGTGGGAGGAGGCATGGGGCTTAGCAGACAGTCAGACACGGGGTACCTGGGTTCTTTAGGTGGATATCTTGGTGACTGTGCTAGTGTCACCTATGCACCACTGGTGCTATTACCTTTGCACAGCAGTACTTGAGGCTTAATGATTATCAAACATTTTAAGATTGTAGGTGAAATGCAATATCAAGAAAATATCAGGAATTGCATCTGTGGAAAGCAGGTCCTTCTGGCTGGAAAGTGTGACCAGCTTTACCTGCAGCACCAGTGGGAGCATCTGGGGCAGGTTCAGTTATGGCTTTGAGGTCAGGCAGGAACTGGCCACAGCTGTGTTAGGTCCTTGCTAATCCCCTCTCTGGGAAGACTTCAGACAAAAGCCTTTAGCCTAAGGAGTAAAGTTAATAATGAACAGGTGGTTGTCATGAGAGGAATAGATAAAATCTGCCCCTTTCCAGTGACAAAGTGGAACAGAGACTGTGGGTCAAAATACATGCCAGTACAGGTTTGATCTTGCAGCTTGGGCACAAGTTCCCTTGGAGAGAGGGCTGGGTAAGTCCAGATGTGCCTGGCCTCAGATGTTAGAAAAAAATATCATACTCAAAAGTCAGATGATTTTCCCATCTGTGAAACTCTTGCCTTGTTCTTTGCAAAGGAACCCTGAGGTCTGACCACTGTGTGTTAGGAAAATAGGAGGGCAGCAGCTTCAAAGAGCAAATAAAGTAATCTGCAGCATGTGTGAGCATAAGGTCTGAGGTTTCATTAAAGGTCTGAGGCTGTTGAGTGGCAGATCTTTCTAGAAAGGTTAAAACCACAGCCTTTGTAAAAGACCTTTACACTGCTGGGAAGATAATGGAGTTCACTGCTTTTCATTTTCCAGTCTTCCTCCTAATCTGTGAATTTATTTTCAGTCTATCTACAAGCTGAAGAAAGTATGTAGGTCGGAGGTGGAGGAGAGGACCCCATTGCTCACACCGGAGGAGGTTGTGGACAGGATATTTCAGTTAGTGGATGAGAATGGGGATGGTAAGTGATTGATGGCTCAGATTGCATTCATGTGTAATAAGTTATCTGTGCTGGGCAGGCTGGCTTTAATTATGTCTATCAAGAAATCACTTAGGACTACCATGTTACTCATACTAAACACATTAGGTTTAGGTTCTGGTCTGTTTGTTATAATCAAGAGTAACCTGGTACAGCAGGATGAAATAATTTCCATGGTTAATGTAAAGTACAGAGGGGTCACTATTCTGTCTGGATTTTGATGCCACATGGATCTCGTCCTCTGAAAGCCCCCAGCAGCCAGAGTGCAGGTCCCAGCCCCAGCACAAATAGCCTGGGTAGAGACTTGCTCCAGTCAAACTGGCGCTTGCAGGATCAGACTTGCAGTTCTCCTGGAGGAGCATGTGTAAGGTAACGCAACACCTCACGGGGTGGGTGTGAGTGGAGTGGGTTACCGGTGGTGGTTTGTCCTTTGGCTAGCTGGCCTAAACTACATGGGGAAATGAAGCTCAGCTTTTGTCTTATTAGCACATTTTTTTTTTGAAACATAGATGGCTTTTACTTCCTGCCGCCTTATCTGTCATGTTTTGTCTCTTCATCTTGTGTCCTCTTTTCATCCACAGGGCAGTTATCTCTTGATGAGTTCATTGATGGGGCCAGGAAGGACAAGTGGGTGATGAAGATGTTGCAAATGGATGTAAACCCTGGGGGATGGTTCTCTGAGCATAGGAGAAAGAGTTCTTTGTTCTGAGAAAATTGTTTTGATACAGCTGAAAATGTGATGCTGACTACAACTGTGGATCTTACTCTAGGGTGGTAGTGGCTTTTCTTTTTAATACAATCTCAGCATCCAGATGAAAACTTCAGTGGTTTAAGAAGCCATATCTGAATCTAAAACCCATGTGCTGCATACTGCTGGTACCCAGAGACTGGTTTTGGCCCATGAATAAGTCTTTGTGTACACAATACAGTGTTTGCAAGCTCTGGTTTTTGGTAACACCCCAAGGAATAAACTTTTTGTGGCTTCCTGAAGTGGATCCTGGGCAGGGTTTTATTCTGATGACAGATGGGATGGGGAAGTGAGAAACTGTGACAGTGCTACTGTCTCCAGTGCAGACTAGTGTTGGCATCATTCATGCCTGCGGAGATACAAACGCATCAAACCAAGAATGACAACAAAAGAGGCGCTCTGGCAGGCTTTAGACATTCAGGATATCTGTATGCGTGTTTAGTAAATGTAAAATTATTGAACACCAACATATCGCTATCAAAAATGAGAATTGGATTATAAGCAGTAGTCAAGGCAGTATGTAGAGTTGAGGAAAACATGTGTGATCTGGACAGTTGGAGCAGCAACTCCTTGCATCTCCCTCCCGTGGACCAGAGTTTGCTCCTTCTACCTGTTCAGAGACCTGGGTTTCTGTGGGGCTGGAAAAATGCTATTTCCAAACACTGAAATTGTTTGGAAACAAACAGCAGTAGAAATTGTACCAGATTTGTACCAGGACAGACTTGCTCAAGTGTGATTCTGCTCCTTTTGAGCCCCTGTTTCTTACGGAGTCATCACTCCAGAACAGCTTTTCCTGCCCTGTGAAGACCAAAGGAGCTCAAGGACTTTCACTGCACTGGGAGAAGCTTTGTGTGGAAGGAGATATAAGGGAAGAGTGGAATTTTGCTTGGCAGTGTCTCTGCAATGAGTGGATTAGCACTGCTTTATCAGCAGGACAACAGTATGGAACAAGTGACAAAATCCAAGTGTGTTACTGTAGTACAGTGGTTTTACACTGGACTTAATTTAGCCACAGACTATAGAGATAAAATTTGCACAAATATAAAATTTGTTGTAGGCAGAGCTCTGCTATTCTAACCCATATTCCTACATATATACGTGTATAGGGGAAGAGAATTTGGGATGAACCAATATTTTTGGTTCATCTTCATTTGATTTATTGATTTATTTGCAAGAAAAATTTCCCCAGGAAAATAACAAGGGTTTGTTTTAATTTTCCCATGGGATCAGTGGGCCAGGTCATACCCATGAAAAGATTTGCAATCCCTTTTTTGTGGCCTTTAATTATGACTGTAGTATCTTTCATTAGTTGATTAGTTTGCTGGTTTGTGGTCTTGTCAATTTAACCCATGTTTAAATTCAGAAACATGAGGAAGTATCCAGGATAAGACAAGAGTGCTAGAGTTCAAATGCATATATATTTCTGCTTTGAAATAGCCTTTCTAAGAGTTCTCTGTAAATACACATGAACTTGGGGCATGCTTACTGCTCAGAGCTGATTAGACTTCTAGTTTCTGCTGCTGTAAGGCAGCTCTTTAAAGCTCATTCAAGTCAATAGTTTATCAGCCAAAGATTTGAAAGCAAAACCTTACTTCTGACCTGATGGTCTGGAAGAAAAGATTAATTTTACTGATTTTTTTCCAACTTGTGGACAAACGTTTTCATGGAAGAATACTAATCTCCAATTCCTTCCAGTCTCAACCAACATAACACACTCTGCTTCTTGCACAATTTAAGTGGATGTTGCATACTGCAGGTTTACTTAAATGCTTTGAATTCTCTTATTCTGTTCACCTGGTCAGCTCAGGCACCAAGGGAGCTGCGGGGTGTCCTCCACACCAGCAGTCCTCTGCTGGGGTGGTAGAGGGCATCCTAACACTGAGCACTTGTACAGTTGTTGGCAGAAATTTTGTAACACATGAATTCAATAAAGATTTATTTATTAAAATTCTACCTGTTCTGTGGTATTTATTTTTCACTTAGAATGAAGGTAAAGACCTGTGTAAGCACCTGAGGATCTGACCAAAACTGTAGTCTTTAAGACTGATAACTTAAGGCAGGTGTTAAGTGTAACAGCTAACCTGGATAAGACAAATATAAGGCAGAGATGGTGATGCTATTGCAGATACAGAGTAGGAGATGAGTGTCTTCTGTTTAACTTCCATGTAATGACAGTGAAAAGTACAAAAAAAACCAAAAACACACCAACTTTTCAATGAATTAGAAATAGGTGCTTACAGTAAAGTGAGCTGACAGTGCTGCAATCAGATTGTCCCTATTTTAACCCTGTCAGAACCACGACAGGAACTGTGAAGAATTTAGGGCTCAAAGTGTTGGACTCGGCAGCTGGATGGTTCCACCTCCTCTGGCCTGGGCAGACCGAGGATAGAGCGGTGCACATGGTGGGTAATGCTTGCCAGAGCTGGTGTAACCCAGTGGAAAACTGTTCCTCTTACCAATTGTGTAATCTTTTGTCAAGAAGTTGCGAGGTGCTTCAGTCTTAGCCCTATTTTTAAATCTATAGGTATAAATACTTTGATCTCCTCCCAAACTCAGTTTGATGTTCACATCGAGCTGTTAATGTCAGACATTTTGCATAATCCATTTTTCCAGACTTACAGCCCAGCTAGAATGGGATTTGACTGATCGGATTTCTTTTTGGTCTAAATTGGGAAACAGGATGGCTTGGAAAAGGCAAATGCCATGTGACTTTTCTCCCATCTGCTCTGAGGTTTGATGTCCCTGAAGTTGGGTAGGAGTGGAGGTGAAATAGGCTGGAAAGCTGAATGTGAGGCTGTTGTTGAAGGGGCTGATGGGGAGCAGCACCAGGAGCCAAGGAGGCATCACATCCTAAAATACACTGGAAAGTACATTTCTGGGGTAAGCACTGAGCAGAAATAATGAGGCTGAGAAGGAAGGAGGATATTTACCTCTAACTCTGTGCTTAGCCATGCTCTTTATTTGTCTATACACCTGATGTTCTGAGCGGGGAGGCTCACCCGGGGCAGCTGGGGTTCGGTGGCTGCCCAGAGGGAAGGTCTGTGTCCAGGTCATTGCCAAAGCACCCACATGCAGCTTCCCCTTGAAAATGTCCTGTTGAAGAACTGAGTGGCCGTGCCAGGATTTACAGCCCTGTGCGGAGGGACTTTTTGTGGTCTCACTGTACTCGCTTGTTTTCTCACAGCACCCGTGCTCAGCTCTGGCAGTATGGGAAAGTACTTGCTTCCTTCTTTCCTCCTCTTCAAAGGCAAGTGCACCTTAGAGGCTTAGAAAATATCTCAGATGTATTACCCTTAAAGAGCTTGTATTTGAGGTAATCTAATGGTATTCTGGGATCTGATGCATGATGCATACGGGGGCTGTGCTGTAGGGCAGGCCCATCCCCTGGGGACAAGGGACCTTTAGAAGCATCTGTCTGAGAACCTGTTTTGTTTCATTTCTTTGCCTTTTAGGCCTCACGCCCTGAACGCAGGAGGATGTAAAAGGAGATTATTTTTGCCATTTGCCACCGTCCTTCCCTGAGCTCTTCACCTCGCTTCTGTTTGATTTTTGCTGGGTAAGAAGAGCCCACGGGCTCCATTCCCCACGGGGGTGGATTCCCTGCGGTGCCTGCAAGCAGAGCACACGATGGGGACCGGGATGGGGATGGGGACCAGGACGGGGACGGGGATGGGGATGGAATGGGGCAGTCCCGGCTCCCCGGGGTGAGCAGCACCCCCAGAGAGAGCGGCGGCAGTGGCGAGGGCCGGCTGAGCTCCGGGCTTGGCTCCTCTGCTCTGGAGTGGGTACGGAAGGTGGAGGTGCTGCTCAACACCCTTCCTCCAAAACTGGGCTGGGAAAGACCCTCAGCAACCCGGCGGCCAGGCCAGCCCCGCTCCCGGCAGGACGTGGGCTCAGAGCCCACCCGAGATCCCTCCCGACCTCGGGCGCGCCGTGGATCGACGGTTTCTGCATCCCGCGGAAGGCAGACGGGCGTTGTAGCTTTTGTGGTGTTTTGGCATCAAAACCCCACTGAGATAAAGGGCACGGTGCTGCCCAAGGTCACGCGCTGGGTGGTTTTAGTGTAGCTGCAGGGACTTGTCCCAGGACACTGCAAAGGGGAGGTAGAGCTGGGACCTGCCGGGCAGCCCCCCGGGCCCTTCGCAGCTCCCCAAAAAGCCTCTCCCACGCTCACCAGAGAGGCGGCATTCACCAGCGATAGTGTCACAGGAGTGAGCAATGCGTCTGTGGCTGGCACCTGAACAGCCACCACTATTTTGAAATAAATTGATTATGTGTGAGTTAGGGAAAGAGAGTCACAGTATTAAATTTTTTCAAATTTGCTTTCTTGAAGGCTGAAAAAACATCCTCTGGAGAGGGACGCTGAGGTTTGAAAGGTGCCTTCAGCCAGGCAGCAGTTCTGAGATGGCCCTTTAGAATAACTTTATCTTTATAAATAGAAGTTGGGCCTGTCGGGGCTGCTGCTTGCAGCTTCCCGGGCACGCAGAGGAGTGAGAGGCTGAAGGAAGCACGGGCAGGACTGCGGCTCTGCGGAGGGAGCGTGCACACAAAGCCCACGCTGAACCCAGCTCCCTCCTCGCTGCTGTTGCAGAGACGACGTGCAGTAAATTTTGCGCCAGTCGTTTGTGGGGGAGTTAATTTTGCTGCAAGGAGGAGTATTACACGCTGAGTAAACAGCTCAGCCTGGCTCTAATAAGACGCTTGCTGCCCGCTCCCTCTCGCAGCAGTGGAAGTGGGGTGGCCGGACGAGCTGGCCCGTCAGCGGGTTCCTCGGCGTGGCCTTTTGGGGTGTGTGTCCGTCCAACACCCCCAGAGCCCCAGCCAGGCTGGCAGGGGGCAGCTGCTGTGCCCCCCATGCTTGCTGTCCGTCTGTCTGTCTGGGCGGAAAGCAGGGGCAGGAGGGAGCTATGGGGCTGCCCCAGGCGGCAGCAGGGAGGGGAGCAGGAGGTGCCTAGAAATGGGGGTGCGTAAAGCAGAGCTCTAGGAGAGCTGCAGGACTACCCAGGGGGTGAGGTTTTAGTAAAGCAATCTACGCTTGCTCAATGCAGGTGAGGCTCAGGAGAGCAGGTGACGCCCACGGGGTGTGAGAACCCAGGAACAACCCCTGTGCTACGCTGATCCTGAAGAAAACAGACCGCTCCCCACGCTTGCGCTGTTCTTGCAAAAGAACTATTCTAATGAAGCCAAAACAAAGCTTTCTGCACTTGCATGTGACAGTTAATCTGTCCTGCTGGAAACAGAATGATTGATTGGAAGAGAGAAAAAGCACGACTTGAAATCATCTTGTAAAATATCTTTATTAGTTCACTGTAAGATTGGAAGTACAAAAGCTTCCAGTTAAAACACTGACAGATGAAAAAAACGCACAGGAAGATTGGTCAGAGAGTTGCTTATGAGTTGCAAGCATCCAGTGCTAAATAACAAGTCTTTCAGCTAGGCAAGAAATCCTTCCTGGTGTCCTGTATTGCCTCACCACGCCTGAAACTCGCTCCCATCGGATGAGGAAACTCCTTCTCCGGAGCAGCCCGGCGCGGTGCGGGGGCGAGGCCGCTGCTCCCGCAGCCTCCCCAGTGCGTGTGCTGGGAGCTGGGCACAGCCCCTGCTCCTGCGCTGGTAATTAGCGCCCGCAGACGAGGGTGCTGTGCCCGGGATGCTCTAATAAGGGGCGGCTGGGTTTTACTGCACGGGGGAGGGTACTCGAGCCCCCTGTACCGTGGAGGTGCTGGCACCCGCTGCCTGCTCAGGAATACCCGGATGCTCGCGGCGTGGGCGCTGCGTCTGCCCCGTCTCCAGCAGCACACCCCTCCGAGCGGCACGCAGGCGATTCGCTGCCGTTCCTGTTAAAACCACCCGATGCTCAAGGGTGCCACGCAGCATAACTTGCAGGAGAGTTTAAGTTTGTTGCACAGGTGTTAAGACATGCCGGAATATTCCTACAAACACGTAAAACTCTTCCCTCTCAGGTTACTGCCATTGCAGCCCTTCCAGATATTTCAAGGAGAAACATGCCCCTAACAGTTCAGATAGTCACTAAAAAGGCACCATTCTATGTTTTTAATGCTTTTAAACAAAGAAAATCCACTGCATTCACCACTCCGCTTTTTCTAGCTCATAGATATTTTTATCTTACCTTATTACTAATGACTGCTAACAGCATACTAACAAATCAAAGAACGAATAACCAAAACTGCTGATCTTGTGCGCTGGAAATATATATGGAAAGAGAAGGTTCAGCATCTGAACTAGGTGCTGCACGTCTGTGCTTTGGGGACCCCCCTCGCCGGGGCCAAGTGCCGGGCAGCCCTGGGGTTCGCCCCCCGCCGCAGCCGCTGGTGTTGGCCGCTGCCTGGGTGCGAATTTGGAGGCTCCCTCGGTGCGTTCCCGAAGCGCAGCGCGTGGTGCCGCTCCCCCTTCCCGGGGAGGCGAGACCCTCTCCCTACCCCCTCTCTGCTCCGCAGCATTCTCCAAGGCCCCCGCACAGCGAAGAGCCCCGTGGCCCCGCCGGCGGTCCCGGGGGTGGCTGAGTGCTTCCAGCACAACGAGCTGCTGCCCCAGCACCCTCTCTCCACCCCAGCACCCCCTCTTCGCCCAGCACCCCCTCTCTGCCCGAGCCCTTCCCATTGCCGGCCGGGGTGGCTCCCCCAAACCATCTGCCGGGGGAGCGGCGCCTTCGGAGCAGATCCCAGTCCCTGTGCTGGAGGGATAGTTGATCGCTGGTGGCACTGGCGCTGGGACTGCTCACCAGCTCCCACCGCCACAACCCGATTTGTCTTAATAACGCGAGGGGAAAGAAGTAGAGATGAAGGGGAGGCGTCCCGGGAGCCTACTGGGCAGCCCCCGCCGCCTGCTCGGGCTCGCGCGGGTTCTTCCCGTCGTTCTGGATCAGCTGGACGATGTGCGTCAGGTCCAGGCTGCGGGTGAGGATCTTGAGCAGCATTTCATCCTTTTGCACGCCTTCCATGAACTCTTCCAGGGAGAGCTCACCTGCAAGAGCACGTTCGGAAAAGGGCTGTTAGATCCTGCAGCCTGTCTCCCTGCTCTGCCGGCAGCCTCGGAGCAGCCCCCCAGGAGTTGCACGGGCTGTAAAACGGGGCCCCTCCCGAGCCCCCGGCTCTGTGGCTCGTACACCCCAAAGCCCATCACCGCGAAGCCCTGCGCAGATCCCACCCTGCCAGTACAACGAGGGGAAGTTTGCAGCGTCCCCTCGGGCCTTCTGCAGCCCGTGAAGGGGATGAGGAGTTAAACCTTCACGGGGAGCTGCTCTCTGCCGGCTCTGCCCACGTCCTGGTGCTTTGGGACATCTGGAATTACTCTGGCAGACTGAACCACAGGCAAGGGGGAAAGTGGCAGCAATAGTTGGTATTGCATAAGAAAGGTCCTCACCGTCTCCGTTTGTATCAATTTTGTCAAACACCATGTTTGTGAATTCCTCAGCCGTCATTGCTTCGTTGCACCGGTTGATAGCTCGAATAGCCTGGAGGGAGGGAAGGACACAGAACAATTCCTGAGCGTTGTGCAGATTTGTGCATACAGCTGTACAAGTGGCTGAATGACCGGACATGAGAGGCCAAATTTTTCAGGCAGTTAGGTTCTGAAAAGAGTAAGTCCTTTCTAAAAAACTGGAGATTAAAATCACTTAAAAAGGCAATCAGTGCATTAAATGATTAAGTGGGCACACAGGGATAAGCCAGGAACCGTTCACCTCTGAAAATCACATTAAATTCAAGTGTTTATCTCAGCCTGGGTTTCAGTGGATGCGGTTAAACAACCTGCAGTGGGAAGACAGGGGGTTGCTGCGTGTCGGAGCGTGCGGGTGCCGTGGGGTGTGGCGTGTTCGGGACGGGCCCGGCCGGGTGGGAGCACTGGCAGAGGACACACAGTGGGCTTGGCCGGTGCCTACAGATTCACCAGGGAGTTGTTTTTTGGGTTGGAATGTTCCTGTTACAGCCTTTCTGTCTATCTGCGTCCAACGACCATCGTCTGTGATAGAAAGGGATCAAGCTGAGCGCACTCACTTTGATGATGTTCAGCAATTCTCCCCGGTCAATGCAGCCGTTCCCGTCCACATCGTAGAGCTTGAAATACCATCGCAGCTTCTGATCCACCTTCCCTTTCAGGACCAGGCTCAGAGCTGCCACATACTCCATAAAATCTATGTAGCCATCCTAAAAGCAGAAGGTTAGAAGCTCAATGAGATGAAAAGCAGAGTCAGGTGGTAAGGGATCTTCCCGGTCACTTTTGGAAGTCCCCACTGGAAGACTTCGGTGTGAGAGCAGGAGCTGGGGGAGCGCAGCAGAGGTGCAGGGTGTGGGTCCCCTATATGCCCACCAGTTAAAACCAGTGCACCAGTGAGGGCTCCCTGCCAGTCTGTGCAAAGCTGTTCTGCGTTGATGACGAACGACTCGGTGTGTGCGCCTGGCATGGGGACTAACGAAGCCTGCGAAGCGAGCCTGTGCTAAAGGAATCTCTTTATGCAAAGCAGTGGTAATTCAGAGGTCAATGAGGAACAGGTTTGTGCAGATGAACCCCGAAGGAAGACCTAACGTTGTCCTGACTGCCCACACCTACAGCTCTTTTCTGCTGCAAGGGGGGCTCACACACAAACCTCTGGGAGAGGAACGAGCTCGGGAATTACCGCAGGACGCTGCTGACGTCTCGGGAGGGGAAGGCTCTGTCCCTGTGCCATTTGTGTACCTGCTTCACATTTGGTCACGTCAAAAGCACAAAGAGTTTTATCTTTGACTTTCCCCCAAGGTGTTTGCCCACCACCAGCTCACACCCTGGCGCTGGGGACGTTCAGCCGGGCCCGCAGACGTTCTCCAGGCAGGGCTCGGGGACCAGGGCAAAGCTGGGCTGGGCTGAGCTCGAGTGTCTGCCTCGACGCTGCCCCGTGACCTTCACAGCTTCCAGGGAGCTTGCTCAAATGCGTAGTGCTTGCCACAGAGCATCGCGAGGGCACGTACCGCTGAGACACAACGCACTTGGAATACTATAAACGGAAAGTCTTTGGGAGGGAATGAGTCAGGGTTTTGTCAATGAACAAAGCCACCGCACCACAGGGCAGGTTCAAGAAGAGATCATCGGCTTTATCCCACTGCTGCAAGAGCCACATTAGGTATAAATAGCTACTGAGCCCCATTCCCGGCAGGATTTCCGGTGCATCAATTCCCTTTTCAGGCAGGTGTTCACAGATGGGGCAGTGAGCAAGGTAAAGGTCAGGGCACAAACAAAATACCTAAATGATTTAGGGCCTAAATTGTATTATTTTCAGTGGGATTAAGCCCGCTAAGACCTTCGGGCTGCCATAAAATCTATTCCTCATCTCACATGAGGTGCAATTTCAGATCATTTGCAACTAAAGGAGAGTGTTGTTTGCTCTCGGAGATCCAGCATCCGTCTGCTGCTCTGGCACGGCTCCTGCGCGGGGCAGACGCAGCTCCTGATCGCGCGCCGGGACCCGGCGCAGAGCCGCTCCGCAGGGACCAAAGGGCCCGAGCTGCTTGTCGTATGGGACTGGGCACATGTAATAAAATCAATGAAACTGTAATCCATTTATAATTTAAAACAATAGGAAAACAAACCCGATCTGTTGGGTAAACCATCACCCGTGCCACGCTCGGGAACTCGCTGTTTCTGCATGAATGCAGCACTTGTTCCCACACCGCCCGCTTGTTCCTTACTGTCACAACATTTGATATTTAAGGATTAAAGGGCACTTCATTTTAAAGGGATCACAGAGTACCGGATAAAGCCTCACTATTTTAATAACTTAAAACTAAAAGGGAAACGCCAATTCTGGGAGAAGTCTATTTTCTCCCAGAACAGTCAGCAGGTGAGGAATTTTTGTTGACATTTTTCACCTTGCATAGCTGACTTTACAATTTAGGAGGCCACGGAGAATCAGACCATACATGCTTAGATACACGTCTATCCTGCAACCACCCAAATACCCCACACGCGATCGCAGGCAGGGAGCAGAGCCCAGCTGATCCCTGCGCAGGCTGAGAGGGAAGGACAATATTTACCTTATTAAAGTCAAACGTCTCAAACATTTGCTCAACATATTTGTTCGCTGCTGGACTCAGGTTTTTCAAGCCAAAAAACTGTTTGAACTCGTACAGGGTGAGCTGGCCAGAAGGACACTCCGTCATGAACTTCTTGTACCACTGGTGGCACTCGGTAGCGCTCAGCTCCTCCACGGCTTTTCCGTCCATGTTCCCCATCTCCACACCAAGTGCTGGTCAATTTGCAGCCAAAACCAGATGTTTTCTGAAAATTGAGGTCTTTTAAATTCTGCTTCTTGCCTTTAAAGTCCAGATGTCCCCAGAACTGCAGGGTTCACAGGATCGGGAAAAAAACAAACTGCCTCGTGCGCGGGCTGTACCGATTCAGTGTTGGTGGTGGTGGACGCAAAAGATGCCTCTCCCGGGAAGACTCAAAAGCGCAAAACCCTCTTTGGATGAGAGGGTGACAGTTAAGTACCCAGCAAATCCCTCCCCGGCCAATGAGGCTCAGGGGGATGACGGGCTCCTGCCAGGCATTAAGAGTTCAGGGTGAAAATAGAAAGGAGGTAAAATGGGAAAGTCGTGCAGATTACAGACCCATCAGGAGATTATGAGAATGGAATTTTCGCTGTCATGGTGTAATCTCCTAATCCACTTTATATTCATGATTTTGTGTGGCGTCACATGAGCAATAGCTTTTGCACCAAAATCAGAGTAAGAAGAAAGAGAGAAAACCACTCAGAAGACTCTGTGATGTTGCTGTCTCTTTGGTCTCCCTTCGCCTTACCCTGGCTGGGGGGTTTCCAGACGGGGCCGCCAATTCCAGCCTGAAACTCAGGGAGGGGGAAGTTCCAGTTCAGCTCCTACCAGAGATGCTGTTTGAGGGCAAATTTGGTGTGCTGAGACAAACATAGAAACATAATTGCTTTGAGTGGTAAAGCTTTAAGTGCTTTAAATGCAGCCACCAGATGCTCTGATGATCTTCCCCTGGGGAAGCTCCCCCCCCCAGCTGCAGGGTCCCCGCGCTCCGTCCCTCTGCTCCTGCCAGCTGAGTGCTCCTGCCGTGGAATCGCCGCACGTGGCACGACCCAGGACCATCTCCTGGCCACCACGCTACCAGGACTCAGCTGATGCCAGTGGAGTTGAATGCAGCTTCAATTTGCATTTATGATGAATTACAGTGAAAAATTCTCTGTGTAAATATGACCAAAACCAGTGTTGTTTTTATTCTAACACACAGCATTCAGAGGAGGACTGGGAGATAAAAAAGTATATCCTCAGGAAGTAGCTTGAGCCAGATCCTCCACTAGTAATGAAATGGATGTGACTTCTGGATCTCAACTCACAGAGAGTCTGTCCTGATGCACTTACTTTATTACGTCTGACACCTTCCAGACAAAGATCCCAACTTTTATGTGTTGCAGAGCTCAGTATTGCTTCTGCACTGGAGCAAATCAGGAATAACTGCTAAAGCAGGTGGCATTGCACAAGCGTAAAACGGTTACGAAAAAGGAATTAGATTGAGGAATGCTAATTGGATGTGCTAATCCTGCACTTGCCAGCAGCAGCAGGCACAGGTCCCCGCTACACACAGCACCTGCGAGCAAGGTGAGTCTTCAGTGGGTGCCCTGGGCTCTGACCCCCCCAAAGGGGACACGGCTGGGACAGCCCGTCCTGAGGCACAAAGAAGGGTTGCAGTATTGAGGCATTCATTAACAGCAGAAGGGCCGCGTGATAAATGTGGATAAAGACTCGCCAGCTGCTTCAAGAAGTACTTGCTACTGGTGCTCCCAGTTCTCCAGAATGGGCAATGCAAAAGCTGAACTGGTTTATGCTGCCCACTGGAGAAGAGCTGCAGGGACGTGCCGGCTGAGTTTCAGCTCCAATTACTGTCTCATTTCTGAGTGCCACAAATGAAACGTGCTTTTCCATTCACTAAGAACAATACTTTGCCTGTGTCTAGGAAAGCCTTGTGGAAGAAGATGTCCTTTCAAAGAAGGAGCAGAGTTTGGGCTCAGCTGAAGAAGCTGGCGAAGCCTTCCCAGGTTTTGCAGCATGTGCTAGGGCCAGGCTTGTGCAGAGGAGCCTGGCTGGGTGGCCGTTCAGCAGTGCCGTGCGGCGCTGACACCCCGCGCCTCTGTGGAAGCAGCTGGCAATAAATGACAGGACAAGTTAGACCGGGTTTTCGGAGCAAAATCCACACTGCATGTTTTTCTGGGGAGCGGTGACAGAGCCTCACCACCCATTCCCCGGCTCACGTGCTCACTGCGGGTCGTAACTCAGACACTCGAGGGGAAGCTGAAGTCACACCGGTCACTGGTTTCATTGCTTGGGCTTTATTGCTCTCGCCCACGGCTCTGGGCCCTGGATGGGTCTCCATTTCACCGTGTCTGCACTCGGGACATCGATCACCTTCTTGGCGTGGTCGGTGTCGCGGCGGTAGCGGTACCCGCAGGTTGGCCTCTGCGCAGTGTAGAAGGGGCTGTACGAGTTGGAGCAACTTGGCTCATAGAAGAGAAACTTGAAGGAGTTGGGCTGACGGCCCCCAAAATGGGCGACAAAAGGAGTGAAGCGAGTGGCCAAAGACACTGTGTCCCTGTGGTGACGTGCTGGACTCAGCTGGCTCGTTGGGGTGGGCGTCGTGGGAGACACTTCCTGCATCGCCTTGGTCTCCTCCATTCCCTGCGGTCTCTCGTGGTCTTTGCCAGCGGCTTCTGGTGGTTTAGTCATCTGTGGAGCAAGAGAGCCAGACAAATGCATTGCAATTGCCCCCACACTTTGCCGTCCTCATCAGCGCGTGAGGCCCCGACGCAAGGGTTGTGTACTGGTGACCAAAAAGCAGCCAGTTAAAGCAGGAGCGCGTAGGGAGTGCCAGCCCGCTGACACTGGCTGCCAGGACAGGCAGTATTCGGTACAAATGCTGAGAAGCCAGCTATTTGCATTTCTTTAGCTAAAAAACCTAAGGTGGTGTTACTTAAGGAGAAAGTGAGTTTAAAATTAAGTGATGTGCTGGAAATATGGAAGTGACTTGGTGAAAATAAAGCAAAGCATACTGAGGGAGTGCACACAAGGAGATGCGAATGACTTGATTGATGTTATTTGACCATGACTCAGTTATCTTGTTTTCATTGATGGCACCTCTGTGCTAATGGAAACTGGCTCTTCCCCCAGCAATTAACCACTCTGCTCCTGGGCGTCCTAAATAAACTCTTTGCTGTCTGGTTTTATTTTTAACTCTATAAAGAGGTTTCCTACTTTCCGTGACGCCCTGGCTTACTTGGTGCTCTATTTCTGTTCCCTGTAGCTGGCTCTGAACACTGGCTCCTAAACCTATTAGGAGGGGGACACCCGCAAAGTGTTTAAAAATCTCCTTACAGCCTTTGAAGGAGATTACCAGATCCCGTCAGATTCACTACCTCTATTTGTCACTCTTTTTCCCCAGTCCAGCCGCCTGCCAGAGGCTTGAAGGGCTCCGTTGCTGGAGCTCGGGACAAGTGTTCTTTCAGCAGTCGCTGCCCCAAGGAAATGTTAGTTGATTTTTTCCACAGGGGATAAAATAATGGGATTGTGACTCCTGAAATGCCGATTTTGTACCACTACAGTCATTTCGGTGTGGTTTGTGTATCCCTGCTCTGAACACGCTTAGATTTGTTCAGAAATGATTATATTCACATACGTGATTACAGCTCATGGCCTTTCTCACTCCGGAAGATAAGAGACAAGTATGCACACGACTGCGCTGCTGCACCTGCACCCACCCAGCGCGGAGGCACCCCTCTTCCTACAGCAGTGCACTCGGGGTGTGGGGGTGAGGCCGTGGTTACTTTGAAAACCCAACTGCTAAGTCATGCAGATGCTTCCGAGATGTGCAAGCCTTGTGCGCGCTCGGCGACGAGGGCTGACAGTCATTCCCAGTGATACCGTGCCGGGGAGTGCTGAGCTTTGGGCTTTGCTCTTGTGATGGGGTTCGTCTGCCCTGGGGCTCCCTGCTCAGCCTCTGGGGCATCTGGAGCTTGGCAGAAACATCCTCTGTGCCCGGGTGCGTCAACCTGCTTACGTGATCGCTGTCTTTGAGGGGAAGCACCAGCTCAGTGTCCACAGTGCTATAGACGGCACTGACAAAGCTCTGCCTGAATTAAGACTCCCACATAATCCTCCTATTGCATCCAGTCATACGTTTAGAGATCCCTAATCCCTCCCAGATTGTCTGTTGTTTCCGGAAGAAGATCCTCACAGCGGGGTTCACAGGGACAAGGCTGACTTCAGTAACCAAGAAAGCACAAAGGGTTCAGACGTCCGCCCTGGATGAAGTGCTCCCCCGGGCAGCTGCCAGAGCCCTGCCTGGGCTGCCACCCCCTCCCCGCTCCGCACCGGGGACCCCCCACTCCTTGTCCCCTCGCTTGTCCTTGCGGAGCCCCCCCAGGACTCTCACATGCGGTTTGCCCTGAGCTCTCAGCAGCCAGGGGGGCAGAGCTGGGCTGACGGCGGTGCAGCTGGGATTTGCGTGGCAGGGGGGGGGACGATGCATCTCACTGACAACCCCAGCACCCCATTTGTCCCGGCCACCCTCAGGGCGAGGGTCCTGCAGCCCCCCGCCTGCAGGAAGGGGACACGGCAAGCGGGAGTCCCTCCTGCCAAACTGCGAGCCGGGGGCTCCCACCTGCGAGGTCATCTCCCCGGCGGGGACCCCAGCACGGGGGGCCGGCTGGGCTGGGGGCTGGAGGCAGCGCTGCCGGGGTGGGCAGTGATGGCTGTCGGCGTCCCCGGGGCCATTGTGACCAGTGGGGTGTCACTGGGGTGTCACTGGGCTGGTGGCTGTCACAGGGGTGCCCGGGCTGAGCAGGGATGCTCAGGCAGAGCGTGCGGAGGAGCGCAGGGGCCCGGCCACGGCGATTAGGAGGATGCTGTTTGTCCCAGCCCGATGGGACAGGGGTTGCACCCGACGGGAACCACCGCTGCTGCTCTGCTGGCCCTGCCACCCCCCCCGAAACACAGCCCCGGCAGCGCGGCCCCGCTCCCCGCTATAGACACGAGCTGTCTCTCTTCCCACGGGGGCAGTTTGCTGTTCTGCAGCCACACGTGAGCGTTTCTCCTCCTGCCCCCCCTGCCCTCCCCGGGGCCGGCTGGGACCTGCGCTGCACAAGCACTTTGCACACCTGCGAGCGCGGCAGGGGAAGATCCGCATCTGCAGGGTGCAGCTCCTCACGCTGATGCAAAGGCAGATTGTTCTGGGGTGTTTACCCATATTAGGATCAAAGGCAGCCTCGCACGGCAGCGTGTTACATCAGAGCGGTGCTCACACGGCTATTTCGATGCCATAAAATCTACCGGCGATCTTCCAAGTGCTTTCCCGTGCTTCGCGCCCAGCCCGGCCCGCCTGGCCCTTTCGCTGTGTGGCCTCTGTCGCTCAGGAGCTCACGGCAAGCGGCAGTCGTCCTGCCTGAAAAATACAGCCTTGCCACCAAACTGGGCATCTTTTCGGCGCCTTTTGGGTCTGCACTTTGCAGAAGTCAGCCTGCCCAGCAGCAGACCCCGTGTGCTCCTCTTTCTTAGTCCTGAGCTTTTTCTGGTTTTCTGCAGGAAAGCCCAATGGCTCTGCTGAGAGGTGGAAGGTACAGAATGAGTATTTTTCACCTGGAATAAATACACAGGAGTGTGCGCGTGAGCTCTTGCAGGCTTGTTTAGCAGCCTGTGTTTGCTGGGATAATAAACTCGCCTCAAAACGCACATCCCTTCATGTTGTGAGAAATGTTTTCCTACGCTCACCACCCAGGGTGAGGCAAAACCACCGCTGGTGGGGTGGCACGGATACAGCTCACCGCCCCCGGAGCTCACGGGTGCTGCTCTGGAGTCCCCCCTGCCCCGGGGGCAGAGGAGCAGCTCGGGAGCAGTTGTCAGGGACCTGAATCACACTTTCCTGTTCCCGCAGAGCATCGCTGCAGCCCTGTGGCCCCTTTGAAGTCGCTTTGGTGTAATGACATTTTGTGGGACACATTCATGCAGGAGCCCAGGCTTTGTCATTCCACTGGATTTTATTGGCTTCTCTTCTTAAAATAGTTCTTCTCCTTCCCCTTTTCCTTGACTTTGTCTCCCTGTATATCCAGTTCAATTTGTTGAGTCAAAGACTGTGGAAATCAGCAAGCACATGTGTCTTGCCTATTTTGCAAAGACATTGGGTCCTTTGTCTTTTTAGTAGTGAGCGGGTCCTTAATTTCATCTGATTTCTGCTTTCGAGAGGTGCCAGTGAATTTCCTTTCAGTGTCTGGGGCTCAGTGAGGTGGGTTCCGACTCTCCCAGGAGGAATGCTGCCTCCCAGTTCCCATCTGCGGGCAGGATTACCCCTTTGCCAGTGACCCCGGCTAAAACACGACTGCAGCGCATCCCCTGCGCGGCGAGCTCGGGGCGTGCAGGGGCCACGCTCGTGCAGGTGTTTGCAGGATTTGCAGCGTTGTTTCCTTTCCCCGTCTCACGCAAACAGCAGTTAAGATAACTGTCGGGAAGGACTAATTGCAGGCCTTGTGCACGGCACGCAGCCATCCCCCGGCACCACCCGCTGCTCCCCGCGCGGCTCTCGGGAGGACGCGGGAGCCGGGAAAAGGCGTCCGACCCGCTGGATGGAGCTGCACGGCTGCAGGGCGGGCCAAGGCCTCTGCAAACCATCTTAAATAGCCCCTATACTACCACCACAGCACTGAATCCCGGCGGTACGACACGCTAACTCTCCTTTTCTTTCCCCATTTGCCATTCGTGGTAATTACTTTTGTTTAAGTGCTTGCCTGACAATTTATACCATTAGATTTTCCTTTCAAAATATCGTAACAGTGCTCATTTGTCATTGCTCACGGGTGATTTAATGCGTTGCCCTGATTTGTATTTTGTGGCAAAAAAAGGTTGTGGAAAGTGTAATTTCAAAGGAATTTATCACTGGAAAAATCAGTCTGTATCATTTTGACTCTCAAAGTGTGGTGGAAACAGAAATAGATAGAAGAGAGAATGACCTTACCCTGAAGCTGTGAGCTGTGTTTCAGAGTTAATGTTTTGACAGCTATTTTGGGTTTAAAGTTCTCCAGAAATCCCAGCACTTATTAATAACCAATGTTACTCATTAACTCTCAGTTTTGACTTGCATGGCACAAAAAATTGTTGGCAATGTTAGACACTTGATTTTGTACCTGAAACGAGAAATGATTTGGGGTCAAGTCCCACTGTCTTTAAACTTTTGTATTAATAAAGTCCCAAACTCTAATGACAGGCGGGTCGTGCTGGGGCGGGGGATGTCCCGGGTGATGCACAGTCCCCCCAAAGCTGGAATGGATCTGCAGAGGGGCTCGTACGCGTGGAGGAGGGAGTTTACTGCTTCCTAAGACACTTCCTAAAAACTCAGTGCCAATTTGCTTCCTAGCATATGCAGGGCAGAGGGAAAGGATTACCCTTCAGCTTCCCCGGGCTCCGGCTGACCTTTCCTTGCATTGCAAGGACACCTGCAGCTCCTGGACAGGGAGCTTGGGTCCCTGTGCACAGCACAGGTGGGGACACAGCGGGTCGGGGGCCCAGGGGGCCCAGCCCTCGGGTCAGAACCCCAACAGCGGGCGAATGAACAGCAAAACAGCGAGAGGGAGGATGGAGACTCTCAAACCTGAATGCTCAGCACACGACCAGCTTGCAGAGATCGATAGCTTGTGTCGTGCTGGGCTTTTTTTAAGGGGAATCAGATGTTCAGCTACACGCCTGGTGCGGACCCCGCTGACCCCTGGGGTCACTTTGCCGCAGCCCCGCTCCCCCGGAATGGGAAGGGGCTTAGCCAGCCCCGCTCCCCCAGCACGGGAAGGGGCTCCCAACCAGCCCCACTCCCGCCAGCGGCCCGGGGACCCCCGCGGCTGCCTGAGCCCCCCGGGCCGGGCCGGGCCGTCAGCCGGGCTCCGGGGACCCCCCCCCCCCCAGGGCCGGCCCTGCCTATAAAGACCCTCGAGGGTTTCTTCCCCCCCCGGGTGGGAGTGGTTGCGCGGCTGCGGGGTGCGGCGGGAGGCACCTGGGAGGAAGGAGGGGAGGAAGGAGGGAGGGAGGGAGGGAGGGGCGGGGGGAAGGTGGGGCCCGGCCCCGGCCGCGGTGGGAGCGCGGCGGAGCCCGGCGGGCAGCGCCCGGCGCCGGCAGGATGAAGAAGCATCACTCGGTGCAGGGCACCTTCAGCCGCCTCTTCGGGAAGCGCCACGGCAGCCCCGCCGCCGCCTCCCTCTTCGCTACCAACCCGCCCTGGATCTTCACGCAGGAGGTGACCTCGGACAGCGCGGGTGGCACCGGTCAGTGGCTCCCCAACTCCTCCCGCCGCGGGAGCTCCGTGCGCGGCCACGCGTGTCCGGGGCGGGCGGGCGGGGGCGCCGCGGGCGGCGTTTGCAGAGGCCGGGGTCCCCACGCGGGGGCTTAAAGTTGCGCGCTGGCAGCGGCCGGGCCGCGGAGGCTCCGCGTTAAACCCGGCTCGCTGCTCCGGCGGGGCCGCGGGCCGCTCCGGGCGGGTAAACTCCGCTCAAGCAGGCTGATGAATAGTTGAGAATCTGTTTTATTGCTTCCAGGAGCTCTTTCCCACGCCATGTTTGAGCTGCTCCTTCCCGGGTCTTGGCTATTTACTTGTAAACCTGTTTCTTGGAGGACTCGGTGCGAGGGGGGAGTTGAGGGTTGCATATTCCTCAGGATTTATTTGTATTTCTTTGTGGTTTTAATTGCAATACTGTGCCCTGGAGGCTCATGTAGGAGGGAGCCCAATTAATAGTAATGGAGCCAGGTAGATAAAAGATAGCAGTTTGTGGATGAAGTTTGGTGGCTGTAAGATTCCAATAAACACTTCCAAATTTAAAAATGGAAGTGCTGCTTGCTGAGCTGGGCGATGTGGAGCAGTGTCCATTAAAGCTATTGCGAGGTGGTTACACCCTGCAGGCCAAGCAGGTGAAACTGAGATAAAATGAAAATGCGACAGAGTTTCATGCAACTCTTAAACACAAAAGGAAAACTGCTGATTTCTAACTGTCGTAAACCTGAGGAGGATTCAAGCTTCTCTCTGATGTGGTTTGGATTTAAAAAAAAAAAAGAAAGTTGCTGTGTCTGCTTATTACAAGCCTGATTTCCGTGGCTGCAATTGCAGTACAAAGGTATTCCTTTCAGGTGTGGGGAACTGCTGTGCAAAAGTAAAAGCCAGGAGTCCTTGAAATCTGAGTGAAAATAAAAGCTGTTGAATCACTCCTTAGCATCCCCTTGGCATTTATGTCATTAATTTAATTTGTGTAGGGTAGTGTGACACACAGAAGCTGAGTGACCATGTTCAGAGTAGTAGTGTGTGTGGAGGTGTGGGCTGGTTGGGAGGAACGGCGTGCTCGCGGCTCGGCACTCCAAGGGCGGATTTATCCCACCTTGATTTCCACAGTGCCACCGTCTTCCCTGGTAAAATCCCTGGCCCTGTTTCTTGAATATTTGCTGCGTAGCTTCATGCATCGCTGCTGCCAGGAGGGCCCCGCTGCTTCTGCTAATCCCCACCTTAGTTTCTCATACAAAGTAAACACACGTTAAGCAATGCGGAATGGGTGTAGGTTTGCCTGTCACTGACTCAGAAATTCCTGAATATAGTGACAGATGCCGCCTCCTCGCTGTGAGCTGCGGATACCCCAGTGACAAACCTGCTGCGCCTACTCCAGGTGATGCAACCCTGAAGTAGGAAGAAGTTCCATTCCATGTGTTGCAGGTTGTTATTTTATTTCCCATGGCTGAGAGGACACAAATGTCTCCAGGACAGGCTGAATGTCAAAAAGTGGCCAAAGCATAGTTGGGGCCAGCTGCTTCCGACAGCCTCCAAAGGTGTTTCCTGCTCCCTCCTTCCAGGAAACGAATCTGGCAGAGCACAGGTCTTACTGGTGACAGGCCCTTAGCAGGCAAGTCCTGTTTATCTAGCAAAGAAAACACAACTACAAGCACTTCATTTTACTTTAATTAAAAGCATTCAGGTTAGAGATGCTTAGTAATCTAGGATCAAAGACCTTGTGATCTTTAATCCAGTTTCTCACTGAGTTTACCTAGTGTCTTGTTTAATATAAAACTCTCATCATTTCAAGTCTCTGTGCTAATCTGTTGTGGCTTCACAAAGCTGTCTGAATCCGAACTCTCAGGTTACATTGGCCTTAATTCTTGCTGCTTACTCGCAGAATGTGGGGTTGCCCAGGGGGGCTGTGTGAAAACCATAATAATTTGCTGATATCTCTGCTATCCTTGGGACTCCAGCAGCTCCTCCCTGGTGCTTGGGTGTCTCACAGGCGGGGAAGTGTTAAACTGTCGGCAGGCCCACACCAACTGAAGTGCAGACTGATTAGTATTTTGAAAGCTGAAGAAAATGTCCTTTTTGTAAAGAATTCCTTGTAGCGGGAGGAGTTTGGGATAAGGGAGAGGAAGTTGTCACTGGCTGTAAGGACAGTGGTAGCATAATGGCTACTCCTGGGTGTATCCCAAGGTAACTTGTGGTGTAGTGGGTGAGAGAGAGGAAGAGCTGACCTGCTTGCTGGACTCAGTGGCCCGTTTCAAGGTTGCCCAGAATTCATCTGCCTCCAAAGCCATAACTTCAGCAGAGGCTGCAGTAGCTCGTGGTCAGGTCCTTCATTCCAGGTGTTCATGCAAGTGCTTCCCTTCTGTGGGAATACACAGGCAAGCATTTGCCTTCCTTTTTTTTTTTTTTTTTTTCACTAAACTCGGTGTAACGCTCTGTTTCCATGGGAGCTTCTCGCCGGATCTCTGCCCATCCAAGGCGGGCAGAGACTTGGTGACAAGCACAGCTACGCGCCGTGGCAGTCCGGGGCGGGTTGGGGACCCCGGTCCTCGTGTCCGGCTGTGCCCGGGGCCAGCGAGGGGCCGTGTGGGAGCCGGGACGTGCCGGAGGGAGCGGGGACACGGGCCGGGGCGGTGGCAGCGGCCGGTTGCTTGTGCAGCCCCCGCGGGGTCCCCGGGGCGCAGCCGGCTCCCGCTCCGGCCAGCGCTGCCCTCGCCTTTCGGAGCCTTGGAAGTGCAGCCCAGCCCCTGGGCTGGTGTGTGGAGCTCACCCAACCTTCGCCTTCCTGCGCCTTGGCTTTTAATTGCTGTACGATACTTGGCAGAAGCTGTTCCTCTGCTTCCCACTTTAGCACGGGGTCAGGCTTGAGGACTGCTTCCAAACTTTTTAGGGGGGCAAAAACGCCCAAATGGGGGGAGGTTGTTGGCTTCTTCCTTCTCACTGAAACTACTTTTGAAATCTCTTAGGTGGGAACACTCCTGCAGAATTTTCTCTGGTCACAGCCATTTTGCTCACTTTCCCTCTCCCTCCTCAAACCCTCGTATTTTCTTTAATGTTGGTCTCCTTGGCTACAAATTATTTGTGTATCTCCTTCCAGCCAAGGTGGGGTTTATGTGCTTCAGTGCTTCTGCTTGTTAATTCATGCTGTTAATCAGACACAAAGAACGTAATTAAACTAGTTTTATGAGCTTTATTCACTGTCAGAAATAAACTGGCCCAAAAGGTGTGGTTCAAGGCAAAAGCACAGGGCTGGGAACCTGGAGCACCCGATGGCTTCTCCTGCTTGTAACACCGAGGCTCTGCGGCTGCTTTCTGCCAGAGCGTTTCCACACACAGTCGTGTTTTGTGGTGAGACACTCAGTGCCTTTCTCCGTAAGGCGGGCTGACGTGTGAAAGTGCTCTGGCAAGCGCGGTTTGTCCCCCAGTGCCGATTGCATCGGGGGTCGGAACGGGATCGTTCCAGCAGCAGCAGAAGGATGCGCTGGCGGGGTCGGTCCGCAGCGGGGACGGCGGCTGCAGCCCCTCCCTGCCGCTGCCAGCAAAACGTGTGTGTGTGTGTGTGTGTTTGGGGGAAAATCCCCCTTGGGGAGCCCCTGTGTGTCCCGTTCGCATCGCTGTGTCCGAGCGGTGCAGCGAGGCGTTCCCCTCCGCTCGGCGGCACCTCCGCGGTCCCGCTCCACTGCAGGAGGGACGGGGGCCTGTTGTCGCGACGGGGACCCGTTGTCGCGACAGGGCTGAGCGAAGAACATGTAGTTATGGCTGTGCTTTGCTCTGCGGGCGAGGGAGGGCTGGAGCTGGCCCCGGGAGCTGCCGGTCAGACCCTGCTGCTGCCTCCCCCCCTCCCGGGTCCTGCCCTGCCTGCGAGCTGGTGGGTGTCACCTCTGGGTCACCCTGCACCCCCCTCCCACTCTCCTGGGGGTCAGAGCCTCGCAGCACTATAAAAAGGCAATCCAGTTGCTCCTGAAGCACTTTTTCTTCCCTAAGCATAGTCTGGGTGGGGAGTGAGTTGAGTGCTTGTGCTGACTTTTGGCCTTCCTGAGGTAAATTTAAGTTAGCTACTATTAGAAATAAGCCTTTCAGAATAGATGGTTCTCATTAAACTCCGGCACTGGGAGCTCTGGGCAGGCTCTCTGTGCCTTGTAGGTGTGTGCCGGGGTTGCCAGCGCCTGCCCAGGGGTCCTGCTCACCCGGGACCTTTCTCCCCCCTTCAACTCGGCTTCAAAACACCCAGATACTCCAGAATCTGAGGGGTTTTGCCAGTTCTTTGGAGCTGATGCGGCAAATTCTTCACAGTGCTTTTTAAAATCAGCTGCTGTCCAGTGTTTTTCCTACAGCCTCAAATGCAGTGCTGCTGCTAACAGTCTTCTCTTCCCCTCAGGTGATGTGATTGAAGTGTATTATGGTGACAATCGCTTTGGGACAATGACTGACTCTGGCACAGCAACTCTTAAACCTCGTCCGAGAGTCCGGCCGCTCCTGACTTTCCTACCCCTTGTGAGTATCCGGCTCGCCGCTGGGATTTGTTATGGCAGAGTGTGTAACCGGTGCCCAGAACCAGCTGGGCTGGCTGCTGCTCTCATCCTCTACCTGAGGGAAGAAAATAAATGAAAAGCAAAACCACTCTATAATAATGCTGGATACGAGGCATTAGGAGGTGATCTGAGTTCAAGGCTTGTGTTGGACATAGGCAAGATACTCAGGCAAGAGATGTAAGCATCATTAGACTTGCATTTTCAATTAAAAAAAATAATTGCTGAGCAGGTAGATGATAGATCGGGCTTGCACTGCATTTTATCTAACCACTACTGGCAGTATCTCTCTCTGGATCAGGCATGTTGCTGGAGAGAGCAATAGCAAAACCCTGTCGTGTTTACAGCCGGGGAATGAGGAGGTGATGCAGCGGGTGTCTGTGCAGAGGCTGATTTTCCAATCTCCATATGAGGGAAACTGTTCCCTGCAGAGCTGCCCCAGCAGCAGCAGGATGCAGGGACTGAGGCAGCAACTGCCAACACAGCCAAACCCAGAGGTGGCTTTAACCCAGCTGGGACGCCCCTGTCACCTCCAGAAGCCACACATGGTCATTGCTGGCTTTGCTCAGCTGCTGTGTGTGCTGAGCAAGCTTTCCCCCCGCCAGGCAGCACACCTTCCTCAGCAGATATTCTCAGCGAGCACACCTTGCTCAGAGATACTTTGGAGATGGGAATGGCTAAATCTGAAGTGATACACACAGTTCACGGAAGGTCAGTGAAGACAGGTAACCACTTAAAAGTCTTTGGCCTTGACAAGGAAATACTCTGAGTGTGAAGGATGTTTCTCCTCCTACATCCTCGTCCTTTAGAGCAGCTATCACCTTCAGCAGAAAATGGGCTGGTCTGCTGTCACCTGGGTGCAATTAGGAGTTAATGGGGTTGTGCAGGTGTCATTTGGAGAACAGCTGGGGGGGAAAGAGAGTTTATATATCTATTTGAGAGCATAATTAGGAAGTTATGGTGTTGCACAGGTTGTGCAAAAGGGTTGTGTCCTCTATGATGCCTTCCAAAAGATCACAGCAGGTGGAAAATCTCACCAGGGCTCTGAGTCGAGTAACTGTAGGACTGATGCCTGAGAAACTTCTCTCCAGCACGGGCTTGGGTGCGCGAGCACAGCTGACACCCCTTATTGCCAGGTTTTTAGAGTTGCGACTGGCAGCTTTTGCATCTTTTTTAGAGCTTGCAAATGCTTTGCTAGTGGAAGTGTATGTGCTGGAGGAATGAACAGCGCGAATGTCCCTGGGATAAATACTACGGGCTGTCAGTGGAGCCGTGGTGCCTTCCTGCTGCCTGCAGAGGCACAGCTGCCCTGGGGCTTTTTCCCCCTCAGTTGCCCTTGTGAGGGTCCCTCTTGCTGTGAGTCTCTTCCAGGAGCAACAGGTTTAACCGAAGAAATTAGTAGGAGCAAGCAAGGCTTTTTAAGGACCAGTCTGTGTTGGATATTTGCATTGTTTTGATTAGGTTTGATTATGATTTGACTTGGCACAGATGCTTCTGCTGCCACATACATACTTGCACTGGGCTGTTCTGCAGCTCCTGCCTTAACCCTTTGTTTCACCCGCCCGCTCTCCTGCGCGGGGTGGGGGGGGGGGGAGGCTGGGAAGCAGCTGCCTGTGTGGCTGTGAGTCAGGAGGATGCACACACCCTGCCCCGCAGCCGGGCCCGCTGGCCTTTGTCTGCCTGCCCGCATGGAGCAGCTCCCTGCCCCCCCGAAACGCCCGGCCCCCCCCGAGCTGAGCCACAGCCAGGGCTGCAGGAGAGGGGCCTCACCGCCTGCTGCTGGGGTACCACCATGCCCCCCCGGGTTCCTGCAGGTGCAGGCAGAGCTTTGGCATCCCAGGGGAATAGATTCCTTCAGCTAACCCCCAAACTTCCCCAGCTCTGCTTTGGGGGTAGCTCTTCGTATTTGGAGAAATCCTTGGCCTCTCTGAGACCCCAGGATGCAAAGCAGTTGTATTTTGGTGTGGTTTTTGTAACAGGCAGCCTCAAGCCGAGTTCATTTAACGGATGGGAAGTGTGGGCTCCCGAGGGATGGGGGGAGCTGGGGAGCATGAGGCCAGGCAGGCTCCCCTTTGCGGGGCACGGGCGATGTCGAACGCTGCTCCAGCGCTGGCGAGCGATTCCCGGTGGTTACAGTGAAAGCTCCCTGCAGTGGGATCCTCAGCACACACAGGTCTGGTGCCAGTAGCACCGACTGGAAACGCAGGCTCCTGGCGCAGCACCCCGAGTTAGCCCGCTCTGAATCAGCTGGAGGTTTGCTGGGCTGGTCACACCCCTGGCAAACACAGCAGAGGGAATCAATCTCTCTCGTCATCTCTGGCGACTGGCAGCGCACTGGAGATGCTTTCCATTTTAGAAGCCAGCTCGTGACGTGAGGATGGGTGGTTTTTGAGAGAGATGCTGAGCGTTAGCAACTGCAACAGAAATTTTTGGTGTGAAACAGGCTTGCCCAGTTTTTAGGACCTGTCGAAATGACATGTCCGAAATTACTACTCGTTTATGAAATGTGAGCTGTTTCCTCCAGCTTTGCATAGATCTCTTCCGACTGCCATCCCCTTTCTACTCCTATCCAGACATGTGATGCTTATGTTGCTTTTAATTCAGTGCTCAGACATCTTTGTTTCCCTGTAAATGAGCAGGTATCCTCAGTGTGCTCTGGAGACTGGCGGCAATGAATTTCCATAGCAAATGGGCACTGCTGGGTTTTTTTTCTTTGTGGTTTTCGGTATCTCATTGCTCTGAACAATTTTGTTATCAGCTCTTGAAGTGCCTCTGTTAGCCTGTGTCTTCTCTCTGGCTTTCAGCCGAAGTTAAGAATCTTTCCTCTGCCTTGTACTGTATCTTTGGGACCGGTAGAGAGGTCTTAGATGAGGCTATAAGGCTCACCTAGTCTGTTGTTTTGTCACTAACAGATCTGTCCTAACTCCTTGGCAGACCTTGGCTTCTCCATCAGCACAAAGCTGCCTGGGCAGTTGTGCAACCCCAGGGATGTGAACTCCCACCCTCCCTCCTGGCTCCACCAGTAACTGGCTCATTCCCTTGTGGTTATAGAGGATCTTTGAGCATCTGCAGGGTGATGGACTTTGCAAGTGAAGCATGTGTATTTTCTTACGATTTTGTCAGAAGCTGGGGGATTCCAGGGCTCTTCTGAAGGAGCCCAGGCTGCTGCTGTTAAAGTCCACGCTGTCCCAGCAGCTTCCATGTTCCTGAAGGCAGTGTGTGATGTTAATGTGCTTCTGAGCCCCGGATGTATAAAGCCTGCTTGACCTTTGATCAATAATGTTTGGAATCCTATAGCAATCTCTTGTAAAAATAGTGATAATGCCAGTGAAAGGCAAAGGGCACAGGCTCAGCTCAATCATTACCTAGGCTTTTGCCTAGCACTGAGCAATGCAGGCTGATGGTAGGATAATATTTCCTTTGTACAAGGGGCTGTTAACAGCTAGTGCAAACAGCTGCCTGGGGTGAGTAGGGGTGCAACGGGGTGGCCCCTGGAGCCTGGCAATGGGGCGGTGTGTCCCGAACCACTGCGCACCGGGGCTGCGAGCTGCTGCTGCTCACGGGGTGTTAGTTCCTCACGATGGGTCTCTCCCTGCGCTGGTATGTGGAAGACCAGTCCACTGCCTCAGTCACGGCTGTGCTGACAGCCTGATTCAGCAGCAGTTTGTGTTCCGGGCATGGGTGCGTTCGTGTACGATTCACGAGCAGCTCCAATCCCTCTGCAGAGCAATCTTAGCAGTGAGTCACTGGAGGAAAGGAGAGGCTTTCTGCCCTGGCAGGCGTACGGGGCAGGAGCCCTGGCCAGCACTCTAGGTGAGTCAACGTGCCACGAATATGTCATGGTGGGTGGCTGCAATTATCCGGAGTGGCTTAGCTGTAAGCATCCCCGCGAATGTGTAGGCTGTTAAATTGCACAGTCCCGTACCAGCTAAATGCACTGCTGAGTTTTCAACATGAACGTGAAGGGAGTAATTGAGAGTGAAACACAAACAACACAAGCAGCAGTTTTCCCCAGTGTTCAGATATGCTGATGCCAGTTTCCCAAAAAGCTGGAATTCTGTCTGTGACTTCAGTGCAGTGTGTACGTGACTGCGGCATGAGCTGGCAGTGCTTGCTGGAGAGCAATAGCCACAAAACCCGTGGGAGCTATTACATTTTCTTGATACGTGAATGGTGAGAAACTAGTGTTGCTCTTTGTGGGCTGGGGAGCCTGAAGCTTGGATGTGAAATAGCCGAGCTCCTCTCCAGCCCCTCTGCACCAGACCAGCACAGAGGAGTCGTGTCCATGGCTTGTGCAACCCAGATCACTTCGCTCATCCCCTTAAACCCCGTCAACAGCAGCAGCCACAGGGACCTCCCTGTCTCGCGCAGCCCCAGATCCCCTCTGGCTCTTGTTTGTGTAGATAAATTGCTAGCTATACAGCCCAGGGCCTGCTTGTCAGCGCTCTGCTCTGATAGTCTGGGCGTAAAACTAACAGCTCTGTATTTTCAACTATTGCAGAATGCCCAAGAATCCCATGGGGTGGCTGTGCCAACGCCATCGGTGCCAGAAGACTTTGAGGAAAAAGCAACTCTTGGTAAGGGATCTTCTCTGCTGAGTCCTGGAGGGTGCTAAGGGCTCAGCAGTACTGTGCCCTCGGGGAAGGAGGCATGTGTGCACCAAGCTCTGGAGCAGACAGTCTGATCGTGAGATTTTGATGCTAAAATAGTCTGCTATTAATTATTTTTTTGAAGTCATTGAAAATTAATTCATTTCTAAGAGGTGGGGCATAGTGGCTGCTACAGTTCAGCAAGCTTTAGGCAGCTGCTGAGCAAAATAAACCAGCTTCCTAGGAGGATAGCTGGCCAGAGGGAACACTGGCTGTCACGGTGCCGATGGAGCTGGTGCTCACACCGCCGTGCTCTTGCTCTTCCTTGCAGGCTCTGGCTCCCACATCAATGGGAACTACCGAATGTACAGCTCGGTGGGGGACCTGCGCCCTCAGGCTCTCGAGGGGGATGACCTGGATGAGGACATCCCCCCGCCGCCGTCAGTACCGCCGCCACCCCCCCCAGCCTCGCTGGTCCCTCCACCACCCGAAATGCTGCCGCCGCCACCGCCACCACCTGAGATGGTGCCGCCACCTCCTGCCGTGGCACCCCCGCCACCTCCAGCCTCCACCCTGTCCTCCCCCAGCACACCAGCTCCTCCAGACTTCATCCCACCAGCCCCGCCGGGTGCCTCACCGCTCAGCCGGGCCCCAGCACCCTTCACCACCGGCATCTCCAAGTGGAAGTCGGAGACGGTGCTGAACACGAGGCAGGCGGATGCTGAGGGGCCGCTCTGCCCTGCCGAGGCTGGGGTGCCAGCTGCCCCCGGCCCAAAGGAGAGTCTGCAGCCCAAGCACTGTCCTGAGCCCCACCTCACCTTCCCCAGGTCGTTCAAGGTGCCCCCGCCAGCCCCAGCCCGGTCCTCCTCCATCCCCGTGCAGGACAGCCAGCCCCTGCGCCAGGAGCCCTTCGCCAGGCAGCCTCACGCCCGGCCTCCCCTCCCGCCCTGCTTCACCATAAGACCCGCGGCCAAGGCTCGTGGCGGCGGAGAAGCCGAGCAAAGAAATTCCCTGCTGAGAGCGGCCGTTGTGAAGCCAGCTGTGCTGACCCCCCCACCGCTGAGCCCCAAGCCGGGTCCAGGGCTCAGCCAAGGGATGAATCCTGCCAGTCGCCCGTCCCCGCTGCCAGGCTCTGAGACGGAGAAGGTTCCCCAGCTGAAAACGGCCGAGACGGACTCTTCTCCAAAATCCGAATCTCTCTCTGCGAACGACTTGGACCTGCCCCCTCCGGACTACCCGACCTGTGAGGACGACTGGAGGGATGCCAACAACCTGAGCAGGCTGCGGCACGAGCTCTCGGCCCTCCTGCGCTCCCCACGGAGGGAGGAGAAGCCAGCGGAGAAGCCGGCGGCTCCCCGGCCCGTGGATGGGGGTACCGACCGTGCCGGCACCCGTGAGCCCAGTCTCGGTGGGCCCCAACTCACCGGACCTGCGGGGAAGGACGCACAGTTACCTGCAGGAGGGGAGAGTGAGAAGAAAGAGGTGCCCAGTGACCCCCCCAGTGCCAAGGGGGGCTCTCCCACTCCCAGCATGGCACTCACCCCTCCGGAGAGCAACCCCCCCACGCAGACCCGCAGCGTGATGAAAATCAGACACGAGCTGGAGGCTGTGCTGTCCCTGAAGAAAGAAGGAAAAGCTGCCCTGGGGCTTGGCAGCCAGAAGCAGGGCACTGAGGATGGCAGCAGCACCCCGTGTACGAGGAGGAGCCCCCCTGACCTGGGTGACTCGGTGCTGCCGAAGCCGGTGCCGAGCCTGCTCCCAGCACCGGTGGCTGCGGTGGAGAGGGATGAGATGGGGCACGAGGACCGTTCTGCTCCTGCCGCTAGCAAGGCCGCAGAGAACTCGAGCCCTGCTCCTGCGTCCCTTGAGAGCAGCGTGAGCCCCCCGGACCCACCTCCGGGACCGACGGAGGAGCCCCCTGCTCCCGCCTCCCCTTCTCCCCCAGTTTCTCCCACACCGAGCCCAGCGCCGCAGCCCAACGGGGCCAGCTTCCAGTACAAAGTGCACCGGGCCGGGGCCAGCTCGACCCAACCGCCCGGCCCCCCCAGCTCGGCCAGGAGCCCGCCGGGCGCCTCGGGAGCGGGGCAAGAGGAGGTGCTGATCCACCCGGTGACGGGCGAGCGGGTGGAGCGGGGCTCCCCGATGGCGCTGCTCCTGGCAGCCCGGCAGCGAGCCCAGCGGGGCCGGCAGGCAGCCGAGGTGGGAGCCGCGCTGCGGGCGAAGCCACCCCCGAAACTCGGCAACGCCTCGTCGGATGCCACCGCCACCAGCTTCTACCGCCATGAGTCCAAGCCTTACTCCTTCACCGTGGTCCCCCGGCCGGCCGCGGTGGGTCCGGCGGGGTCGGGATGGAGCAAACTGCCATCTTTCTCCGGCTCCTCGGAGCAGGGCCGGGATGCGCGGGCGGTGGGCGAGGCGCAGCCCCCAAACCTCCCCGGGCACCAGCGGGCCGCTGCCTCCAGCCTGCTGCGGGACCTGCTCGAGCCCGGGCAGCCGAACCAGCCCTGCCCGGCCCGCCACGGCGTGCCCGGGGAGGAGGAGAGCGGGGAGACGGCGCTGGACTATGGGATTATCCCCCCACCCCCTGAGTTCAGCAACGAGGTAGACGAAGCCGAGGGGTCCCTCCTAAATCGGGAGGAGAGCCGCAAGTGCCCCAGCTTCCCCGACTGCAGCCGGGGCTCGGAGGCACCGCGGTATTTCAGGTGGCCCGGCTACGGCCGCGGCTACGGGGCCAGCCACGAGCCGCCCGCCCCGCTGCCCTCGGAGAAGAGCAGGAGGAACAGCGACTTCACGCCCCAGTACCCAGATTACGGCAGCTCTGCCGGTTACTTCAGCCGCTGCCCGAACCCCCGCCCGCTGATCAAGAAGCGCCTGTACGTCTCTGAGTCCGACAGCTCCTACCCCCGGGCAGCTGCAGCCCCCCGGGGCACGGGCACCCTCTCCTACGGCCCCGGGGGATACGGCTCCCCGGGCGGGGAAGGGGTCCGCCGCCTCGGCTCTGCCCACAGGACCGGCCCCGCCGGCGCGCAGGGCAGGCGGACGTCCATCGATGCCGCTGGGAAAGCAGCGCCCTACGGCAGCGCCGGGGCCGACCCCAAGTACAAGGGGCAGAACGGGGATTTCTCGCCCGCCGGCATGGTGGCAGCCAGCAGCAGGTACGTGTCCCGCTGAGCTGAGCCCTTCCCTCTTCTCTCTGTCCCGTTGATGGGAAGAGGAGGAGGGCTGGCCCCAGAGAAGGTATCGCCCTTGGCTGTGGTTGTTCGTGGCCGGGGTCTCCTCCCTGGTCCCAGCCGTGACCCTGGTGCCCATCGCTTGCTCCTCCCCGCATCGCTGAATAGAGACGGGAGGGGGCAAAAGGTGCCCTGCTCCATTAGGAAACAAAGAATTTAAATATATGATTGCAATATTGAATAAAAGCAAAGGGTTTCCTTGGCTTTCACTGACTTTCCCTCTGTCTTCCCTCCAGACCTGCCCACGGCAGCTCGCAGTACGGCGGACCTGCCAACACCTTCACGGTCAGGCCTGGGGCACGGCAGCCCATCTCCTACGCCTACCAGAGCGCCCATCGATAGGCTTGTCGGCAGGGCTGCTCCGTCGCCTTCATCCAGCTGGGAACGGGTGAGGAAGCGCCTGGGTGGGTCGTTTCCTTCTCCGTGAGCACCAGGGATGATCCCAACCCAGCCAGCAAACTCACCGCTTGAAACTGCTGATGGAGAGGCGGGGAATGAATCTGGGACTTGGGTTCTTCTTGAAAGACACTCATGGAGAGTAGTTACTACAGAGGACAGGCTGCTGTCTTGTTACGTGAGCAAATGCTGTTTTTCTTCTCATTTCCCCCCCTCGTATTATTTCCAAAATTGCAGCCTGATAGGTCTTCTAAGAAAGCCAAAAAGCATCCTTAGTTCTCTTTATAGAGCATCGTCACTGGAGAAATTGTTTTCAGTTTGTTTTTTTTTTTTTTTTTTTTTAATTGGTTTAAATCCAACATACTTGAGAGTAGGGAGAAAACAACTGGGAGCTGTGCATAATGGAAGCAAGCCAGTGTATAGGTAAATGTAGGGGAATTACAAAATAAGAATGCAATGCCAATGGGATAGAAATAGAGTTTAGGGTGTCTAGATCCTAACCTCTTCTATCCTCACCTCCTTCAACAGCCTTGAGCAAGTCGATTATGCCGATGCCTTAAAAACAGCTCCTGGCTTTCCGTGCCTGTCCTGCCGAGCCGGGGGCAGCTCTGCCGCGAAGGTCTGAGCCCCCTTCTCCAGGGAGCAACTGCTGGGGGGGCAGCAGCTTCGGGAGCACGGGCCCTTGCTTTCCTGTGCCTTTTGGCCACTGTTAATGGTTCTGTTGGCCATTATTCCTCATGGAAGAAGGCTGTGAGGCCTGGAGGGATGGCTGTAAAGCACTTTGGAGACTTACGATGTTGAGCAATCCTTTGTCTTTATCAGCTGGTGGGTGTCAGCGACTCACCAAGGTGCTGTGCTGCTGGTGCTTTCCTCGAGGGGTCTCTTGCCACTTTATACCCACGTAAACCCCACCTCTAAAGCTAAGCCACGGAGTCCCTGTATACTGTTTTACTAAGACTTGGCTTTAGTTTGTCTGATTTGGGAGACTAAAGCTAAATTTCAGTGTGATTGTAGAGTATTTGATGCTCCTTGTGTGTGGAATGTCCACGGTGACGTGCCCGAGGGAGCCGGCTCCCGCTGTTGCCGTTCGCGCTGGTCGGGGTGCTGGGTGTGCCTGCCTGTCCCTGCGTCCTGCCCGCGCCTCTGAAGGAGCTGGTGGCAGGGACGAGGAGCCTTAAAGAGAGCATTTCATTCCACAGAGTGAGAAATACAGTCTCACGATAGCTAACCAAAGTTTTGAATAGCCAGCTTCCTGAAACTAGAAATACATGATCTTCCTCATAGGTGAACTTGCTCAAAATCACTGTAAGATAAGTGTAAAGACTTGTAGAGAATGTTTTCTAATCACTGACAAACTAAAAGCACTTTGAGACATAAGTCTACTTTTAGAGAAAGCACTTTCTATTTTCAATACTATACAATACCATTAGTTCCACTCCAGCATATCTTGCATTGCATGCACGTGTGTGTGCACATGTAAGAAGATTTTTTACTCTACAATTTATCTCAAAATTCAGTGATATGTGTTCCTTCATGGTGGAATTTTCAAGAGTTATCTTGATATTAATGTCATGTTGTTGACGTTCTATGTTTTATGTTATTTCCATCTTTACCTAATAATTTAACAACTGTTTCAAATATTGCAGCAGCTTCAAAGTATTCTGAACTTTACTTTGCTGTGAATAAAATGAAAACCCAAATACCATAATTTGGTCTAGGAGCTAATTCAAATGGCATTTTTATGCCAGTAAGTCACAGCGACTTGGAAGATTTGCAGACATGTTCACCCCAGCCAGTATTGAAATAACACGTTTTAAATATCTGGGTGTTGGTTTCTAAAACAATGTTTATGGAGAAAAGTGACTATGGAGTAACTGTCTGGATATTTAAGTGTGCTAGTGTCATGTAGAGTAACCACCCCCTTAAAACACATCTCCATGCGAGGAGCATCTTGAAAATTCTTATTTATCTATGGAAGTAAAGCTGTGGTCATGTTTGAGTGTTGGATAAAGTTTCACCAGTTTAAGTTGAAACAAAACAAAGAAGCCTGTCTGATACTGCCACCTAATTGTTTTTTCTTCCTGATTCTTTTTTCTTCAAAATAATAATATATAGCTTCAAATTAATTTTCAAAAGCAGTTTTAAAGGCTTGTTGGGAGACTTCAGCCTTCAAGACTGATCTTACCCAGAAATAGGGGTGTGTGTGCAATTTTCCCCCTCAGGAATTCTCCTACATTTGAGTATATCCCCAACACAAGTCTGTGTTTTGTTTTGTTGTTGTTTTTTTTTTTTTTTTTGGTGTGTGTGTTTGCTTGTTTGGGTTTTTTTTCTTTTTTTTTTTTTAAGAGGAAAATGTGAAACTCTAATGGTGGCACTTGCTTTGAATTTCACATTTACTGTTTCACCCAGACACGCAATTCCTAAGTAGTTGTAACATGGTGTTATATAGTGTTGAATGTCTTGTTTCTAGCAAATGTGTATTTGTTTATAGTAAATATTAGAAGCATGATAATGTAAGTTTTTATTAAATAGCCATTATTCATTCAGAGAACACCTATTCTGGGAATGCACAGTGGACTAAGCTGTAACTAAATCAGGTAGGACTCTGCTTGCAGTTGTAAAACTGGTTAGCATGATTGTTTTAAGCAGTGGAACTACTCTAAACACTTTGGGCTAGCCCTGCTTCTTTTGAATGCATTAAGCAAAATTCTAGTATTTCAGTAACAACTAGACATTTATGCAGGGGCCGTTGGGAACTGTTTGTGTTACAAAGAAAGCACTGTCAGAGTTGTTGGCAGCCAAAGCACTTAGGGAGCAAGTTCAATCTGTAATGAAGAGTGAGGACCTCTTAGCTGCAGGGATGGGGAAGAGCTCCCTCTTCCTTGGTCGGGTAACTTTGTCAGGACAGCACGTAAACTGTATTCAGATTGCCGTTTCTGCTCCCCCCAGCTCTGTTTCACGATATAAATTTAGCAATAGAAGAGGATGAAACTAAGGGGTAGTAATGGAGCAAAGCAACCTACCCACCTACCTTACAGCCCAGTCTTGGCGCTGAAAGCGGTCTTGAAGCCTGGCAAGAGAGTTATCCTCCCTTCAACCCTCTGATGCAGTTTGGTCATTCAAGTCTTGATACAACCTAAATTATCCCCTGCAGCTGCCTCTTCTTCAAAAGTATATGCTAATTTAGTATAACTGAGAGCTTTATTTGTAAAGTGTTGAACAAAGTCTCTTATTTATGAGTGCCATTGAACATCAACCTTCTTCCATTAAATGTGTCTGGATGTATTGTTTTACTATGTGTCGTCTTTTTTTAGCATTGCTTAAGTGGTCTGTCTACTGTAAGATTGAGATCTTTGCATGCAAGATTAAAAAGAACAGGAAAATGTAGCTCAAACTGACCTCAGCAACAGTCTGAATTTCAGCTTACCTAGGGCCTGGTCCCATTTCTACTTACCAGTTGTTGATATAAACCCTGTGGCAATTTTAAGTGTTTTTAGAAGCCTGATGAAGGAACGAACGGGCAGCTAGCCCTAACTGCCCTGTGACTCCAGAGACAGCCCTCACATCCAGCTGGTTAGGCTGGCTGGCAGAGGAGCTTGTGCAGTTCAGCCTGTGCTGCTTCTATAAATAGTTTTTGGTTTTTAGCTTTTCATTATTAATGAAACTTGCATACTTATTTGCAAGTCCTAACTAGAATGTTGTGCTTAAAATTGAAAATGCAGCATGAGCAACGCAGCCAGCAACATAAAAGGCAGGCGTATTCTCTGCACTCTTCTAAATTATACTTATTTGCATTCTCCTCTCTTTAATCCAGCTCTGGCTACAGAACTGGGTTCTTCATGAGGGAAGTGTGCAATGTGGTGTATTTGCAGAAGCGTCCCCAAACCTGAACAGCATGTAGTCCAGAGACTGTGAGCATACCCCAAACCCCAGAGAATTCATGCCCATGCCTTTGCAGAGAGCTACGAGGTCAGCAGCATGGATGTGGGATGGGCAGTGCTGCGGGCAGAACCATTTTGTGTAGCCTTGCTCAACTAGGAGCTGAGCTAGCCCAACACCAGCGACTCCTAGAGAAACTGTTGCTCTTCTGTGCTTCTCTTAGAATGGCAAAAAAATTGAGAGTTAAGTGGTTAAAAAAAATAAAGAAATGTGCAGGCGTTTTGGGGGGGGGATGCTGCCTCACCACACTGGCAGCTCCTGCCCTCCTGTGGCAGAACAGAAAGCTTCGCCCAAAGACTTGCCAGATGATGAACCGTTTATTTTTTTTTTTCACACTGAAGTCTTCAAGCAATTGTAAAAGAGGATTAATATATCAATAATGACCTGTTGTCCATACAGGCTTCACCTTCCAACATTTTGCTTTTGCCATGAACTGCTGTTTTGCTCACAGCGTGGCAATGTGAGGAACTTAATGTGGTTTACTACTATGCATTTGAAACTTTTCTTTTTAGCTATGCACAACACAAACTCTACTTCAAGTTTTGGAAAGAAAAGCTTCCCCAAAGCCAGCAGGTCTTACAGCCTGCCTTGCACGAGTGCTGAAGAATCATAGTACCTATCATCAACCAGTAATACACTGCACATTTATTTAAGAATGATTTTAATTTCAGGGACTGAAATCACAACTTAACTGCATGAGTGATCTCAGCTGGCTCTTCAATACTACAGAAGTGGCCTGGTGAAACTTACACCCAGTTACAAATGAAAGCTATGATTTATTTAAAAAGTCTTCCACTTTTTCCAAGACAACTCTTTCACAAACAGCACAAGCCCTGTTTCAGTTTTCAGTACACCGTCAGAGGTCTGTAACAGGTAACTTTTGGTTGTTTGAGGGGTATTTTAGAGGAAATGTGTCAGTTTTTATAATCATTTACTTTTTCCTTGTCATACTGCTCTAGATCAGGAAGTCTGCTCTGTAAACCCCTGTATGACATGGGAATTAAAGCAGCAAATGAGGTTTAAAAAGTATGAGAAAAGTACTGAGCATGGGAAGGCTTAGTCTGCCTAAAAACCAACTGTGGGCTCTGCCTAATTTGGATCAACTAACACCTATGTTTATACAGGGATAAGCCCACGGGAAGTGGTGTACATCTTAGTGTTGCTATCATGCTAAAGAAAGAGGAGTAGCATTCACTTCAATAGTACTTTTTGTTTCATTAGTCAGGACCTGCTTTATTCTGTCTTAGGAAGTATTAGACCAGACCAAGCCATTTCTAGAGTAGTGGTAATGCATGCAGAGCAATGATTCTTTGTTAAATATGTTCTAGGGAAACAGTTTAGTTTCAAAAGTACGTGGTATACTACAAAAAACATCTCTAAGGATTATGTGGAGTCTGTTTTGGGGATCATGGGAAGGCTTGGTCCCCTCAGTCGCCGGCACAAAAAGTCACTGATTGCAAGTGTGTAAGAAGCCTCATTTATCACTAAGCGGTCTGTTTATAGGAGCAAGCAAATGAAAACTGAAGTCCTTAGTCCAGTTTTTCCCGTACATTAACTTTTGTTCACAGGTCTTATCTTTGCATAAGTTGTCTTCAGCACAGAGGAGATGAAAGATGGTGTTAAGCAGCACAGCAGCTGCTACCTTCTCTTGGCTTTCAGCACCCTACGGTACCAGCCCCTGAGCTGGGCCCAGCAGGGGTCCTGCCCTCTCCCCAGGGCTGCAGCTGGGATCCTTATCACACAGCACACAAGACTCCTCCCACCAAGCACTGGTATCCCAGTACCGGTGCATAACCAGGGCTCGCCCCAGGATCCACACTAGCAGGTACCGGAGACCAACCCTTCAAACCACGTGCTGTGTTAAGGACAACAGTGGAACCCTTCTAGTCTTTAACTGCGAAAACGTCTTCCCCTTTGCTTGCAAGAAGTGATTTACACAGCAAAGAACTTTGCTCAAGGGTGAGGTTCTCTAATTCAACTACCAGGAGGTGTTGTTCTTGACCTCCCTGTGAAAAAAATCTTTCTATTAATTCCATGGATGGGTTAGAGAACTGAGGAATTGAGTTTTGTTTTGTTTGGTTTTTTTTTTTTTTTTTTTAATTATACCTAATTCCCCATCTTCCCAAGTCTCCTCTGTGCCTGAAGTCAATCTTCTTCTGGGTAAAATACTGAAGTCTTATCACAGGTGAATCCAACTCCTGAGGAGAGGGTAAAGCTTGGTTCAACTAACTTATGCCTACTTCAAAATTACTACAGGAACCTTCTTAGTCACAAGCTTCAAGGCAGACCTAACAGACCGTACCCATTCCAGTTCACACACCTTTGACTTCAGCAGAATCAAAGTAATGCCAGGAAGGAATTTGGACCATGAGTTTATAAAACTATTCTTTTACACAGTTGACTCCAGAAGCTTCACCAGTTGGTATGGGGACAGTGTGATGCAAAACCTGATGGTCCCATCCAACTGTAGTGAGCAAGGCATTGTCTGAAGGAGACCACGATAAGCCTTTTACAAAGTCTCGATGAGAACGGTTTCTGAACCTGTAAAACATGAACACTTCATTAGCCATAAAGCATTGTCACTACGAGTTTACGGGCTTGTGCAATTTCTAAAGTGCTAGTTTGTTAGGATGATGCTCCCCTATTTATGGAGCCTTTTAATCTTCCACCCAGTATATGGATAAATAATTAGCTTAATGAGAAGTCAACAAGACAAAAAGCCACAGTAGTGAATACATTCTGCCTAGTACTTACACCTCTGAAAGGTCTGAGTCAAGAACAGCTACTGAACAGTCTTCACTGATTGAAGCCAGTAAGGGTGAACTAGAGGAGAGATAAAAGACCACGGTTAGAACAATCAAACACAAGAAAGCTACTTGGGGATGAACTTGTGAAAAGCACCTTTCATAGTGAGCCTAGCCCAGATACAGTGAATTAACAGGTACCAAATCTTACAAAAATGTCTTCAGAATCATTTGGCAGGTTGCCAGCAGACTAAGCAAGAATATTCTGTTAGCATCAGAAAGCAAGTAATCCTTCAAGCAGAGGTGACTGTAATTAAAAAAAACCCCACAGTGAGTGGGTCAATAATTCTGAACACTGCAACAGTGTTCTCATGTACACGTTCACACAGGTCTTGTCAAAAGTGAGACATTGTTTGTTTTACTCTATTCTTCACCACTGATCTTCTTGATAGAAAGACCAAAACTAGTACTCTCATAGGTTTTACTCTGAAAACAAATAAGGCTTTCAAACGTTTGTAGTCACATATTCTGTGCCGGTGTATCAGACTGTACCTATGTGTAGAAAATGCAAACCCCGTGATACTCCGGGCATGCACGGTGGAGCTGAGGGCAGAATCAGGATTCTTTGTGTCTACTAGTGCAACTGTTCCATTTTCATCACCTTTAAAGAGAGGAAGGGAGAGTGAAGTTATTAACAAAATTTGTCATGTGACAAGAAAGGCCTTGATTTATCTGGTCAAAGTCAAATGATAAGATCTCTTCTTACCCAAAGCAAAGATGTCACTTTTCTGTGGATGCCACATGACTGAGGTAGGGAGGTGATTACAGGCACTGCAAACTGTGAGTAAATAGATTGGGATGAGTGTGGAAAGAGTACAAAGATATTCCTACACTATCTCATTTAGCACTGCTACTGCACTAAGACAAATATTTAAAAGCTTATTGTGCTTCTGTGATAGTTACAACTTCCTTAGGTTTTAATAGGCTTTTCTGCCTAAATGGCCACATCCCTAGATTTAAAGTTAGACATAGTCAAGTCAGGCATAACATTACTTCTTCCAACAAAAACTCAAACACAAGCAGTGACTGCAGACAGAAACGTACCAATTCGAGTAGCTGGTTTGGGGCATCTGGTGTCCCAGAGTAAAGTTCTGCTGTCCTATAAATCCAAAGTGAATGACAAGGTTTTTACAATTTCTTTGTGGCAGGGGCTAGACATAAACCCAGATTCACTGCAGAACTGCTACTGACCCACATTCAAAACCACACAACCTCTTCCTTTGTGTTAAAATGATACTGCCATTAACTGCAAGTTAGCTCCTTCAGTCATCCCCAGGACAGACACGGGAGCTCCCACATCTTAACACAAACCTGTAGCAGATGCGCTTGGTAAGCTGACTGTCAACTTATCAGACTGGAACATGGAAATAACACAGGTTTGCAGTTTGTAACACAATAGGTGGTTTCTCGGTAAGTGCATTTGACTATAAATAACTAAAGTTAAATCTCATTTTCGTTGGGTAGATTAAGACAGAGAATATGCTTTACCTCACCACAGGACAGGAACACAGTGTCCTTACCAGGACAGGAAGCCATGCATGTCACTGAACCGGAGTGAGCTACCAAAAGCACAAAAGGATAAAGAGCCTCAAAGATTGCACCCAACTTTCCCACGTATTCCCAAAGACCTCTAGAGACACAGCAGCATGACAAAGAATAGTTTATGCCCAAATACAGGTTAACTTTTGCTCAGCAATAGCCAGCTGCTTCCTACCGAACTGAGGAGCTGCCAAATCCAGCCAGAGCCACTGCAGTCTGTGCCCTGTGATGTGCATGAGCTTGGGGCAGCCTCTACAGACAAGAGGTCGGTGACAAAGGGACTTGGGGGGGGGGTTAAACACAGTATGGCCTCTGCTGTGGCCAGAGATCACGATACCACATCTCCAGAGACTGGCACCTCAAACGAGCTGCTGTTCAAAACAAATACGGGTTAAGAGATCAAACAATCATATGCAGGTGGAAGAAGGATTTCTGTACAGAAGAAATACTCTACAATATCCTTAGAGACGCTAGGCCAACTAAGCCTTACAGCATTCATTTTGTGGGGAGAAATGAACAACAGACAAAGAAATAAGGCTGCGCCAGAAACCTGACAGGCTGGCAAACATTAGATGACGGCCCCAGGGGTGGTTTGGCACGCCGGGAGATAACCAGGGATGCTGCAGGAGTAAGCCCAGCCTGCAGCAGCCGGCGAGGGGCCAGGAGGAGCCGAGTGACGGGGCACTCACCTCTGTAGGAGTGCAGCACCGTTTGCTGCGGGAGGTCCCAGACCTTCACGCTGTGAAGAAGAGCGAGCTGTCAGCACCCAGCCCCGGCCCCGGCGCGCAGCGGCAGCCGGGCTGGGGACACTCACCAGAAGTCCCTGCCGCCGCTGACAGCCTGGGCGCTGCCGGCCAGGACGGCCACCGCCATCACGATGTCGTCGTGCTCGTATTTACAGAACTTGTTGACGATGAGGGTTTCGTTCTCGTCCAGCTCCCACAGCTCCACGGCGCCTGGTGGGGCGGGGGGGAAGCGAGGGGGCACCCACCTCGGGGTGCGGGCACCCACCTCAGGGCCAGGGGGGGTTGGGGGGGGGGGGGCACCCACCTCGGAGGGGACACCCGTGAGGGGGGGGGGATCCCCGTTGCTTACCGGAGTCGGAGGCCACCAGGATGCCCCTGTCCGCCACCCAGCAGAGGTCAGCGACGCCCGCCTCGGTCTGCACGCCGGCGGTGCAAAAGCCCTCGCTGGGGGCGCGGCGGGGGTCGGCGAAAACCCAAAGGGAGCCGGCCCAGCACCGCCCGCTCAGCCCCGAGGCGCCCAGCAGCAGGGCCCCGTCTGCGGAAGAGGCGAGGGGAAAGGCGCCGGTGAGCGCCCGCCGCCCCGCTCCCCGCCGCCGCCGCCGCCCCCCGGCCCGCCCGCGGCCCCGCTACCTGCGCGGTAGTGCGCGCCTTCCAGGTGCCGCTCCATGCAGGCGGGCGCGTTGGGCGGGATGTTCCACTCGGGGCCGGCCGCGGTGTCCCCGGCCGCTGGGGGCGGCGGGGGCTGCTCGGGCGGCGGCTCCTCCATGGCGGGGCCGGGAGCGGGACCGGGGACCCCACGTGCTCCCGCGCCGCGCGCGCCGCCGCCGCCGCCACCGCCTCTCGCGAGAGCTCCCGCCCCGCCCCGCCCCGCCGCGTTCTCGCGAGAACTTCCCCGCCGCCATCTTGGCGCGGAGGCGGCCGCCGGTCACCGGGACGGAGGAGGAGGGAGGGGGGGGTTGTGCCGCCGTCTGCCCGCTCCCGCCCGCCATGCTCTCCCGCCTCGTCCTCCGCGCTGGTGAGGCGGGGAAGGGGGGGGGGGGGGGTGGGGAGCGCCGTCTCCCTGGGGGTGGGGGCTGTGTCCCGGCTGGGCTCTGTGCTGACGCGCTCTCTGCCCCTCTTCTCCCCTCAGCCCCGGCCGCCCTGAGGGGCCTGCCGCCTGCCGCCGCCGTGGGGTGAGTACCGGGGCTGCGGGCAGCGCTGAGGGCTCTGACGGCCGGCTCAGGCCGCCGCCCCCGCCTGGGGACGGGCCTGCCAGCGCCTCAGAGACCTGCCGGGCGTCCTTTGTAAATAACGTTATTTTGAGGTTTCGTATCTTTCTGATTAACGTTGCAGGCTTATAAAATAGTTGCGGTGCGAAGGCACCTCTGGAGGTTATTTAGCCCCGCCCACTCCCTCACTAGGGGGCGTGGCTAATGCCTGCCTGCCTCTTTAATTGGAAACGTGCTTGAACCTCATCCATGCGTGTGTATTTCCTTTGTTTTTGTATTTCTTTTTTTTTTTTTAAATAAGAAGCTTATGGAAACTTTCTCATTATTTATAGCGTATTGCACACCACAAGACCACTGCATACAACTCAGCAGCGTTTGGCTCCTTTGCCGCCTCTGCCTGAGAAAGGAGGAGAAGTACGTTATGGTTTGATCCCTGAGGAATTTTTCCAGTTTCTCTATCCAAAAACAGGAGTTACAGGTTAATATGTACTTTTATTTTTTCAAAAAAATTTGTGTGTTTAGCTATGCTTATTTAGTGCTGTCCACTACTTCTGACTGGTGAAAAGGTAAAATTGTAGAGAAGTTTATTTTTTCGCACGTGCAGAAGGAGGTTGTGAAAAATGAGCCAGTGCAGCACTTCCTGGCTCTAAAGCTAGGCACATGTGCTTTAAATAAAGGCTAAAAGAATGTCCTAAGCTTGATCTTGCAGGATGATTTATTTGCTTACTAAAAATCTTTAAACCGAGGGGTTTTTTTCCTGTTTCTGAATGAGCAGAAGCAGCAGGTCCCATGCAAGTTGCTTCCACATATGGTGGGTGCGTCCTTATGGTACTCTTCCCATGGTAGTATTGGGTTTCTACTTCTCATGGTAAAAGAGAATGCTTTCTGTTGCTACCTCTAGCTACAACTAGCTACCTCTTCCGTGTTTGACTTTAGTGAGTCTGAGCTTTGTACAGATAATGCTGCTTTGTTTTTAATTTAGGGCCTTACATGCTGGGAACTGGACTCCTGCTTTACCTGCTCTCTAAGGAAATCTATATCATTAACCATGAGACGGTTGCAGCTGCCTGCATATTAACAATCATCATTTATGCCATAAAAAAATACGGATCTACTGTAGCAGCTTTTGCTGACAAACTTAATGAGGTAACAAAGCAAACCATAATCTAACTTTGTAGTAGCTAATAATTATTCCAAACTATCTGCTTAAATATTTGAAAGAATACTGTATCCAGGCTGCCATGAAAATTTGAGTCTAGTATCTTCAGAATTTTGCTTAAATAAGGTGTGTTTTAGATTTTATGTTGGTATTGTTACATAAGTCTTCAAAAATGAAGTGCCTCATACCTGTATAAATGATTTTTTTAAAGTATGATTGATGGGGAACCCTAATTCTTGTGTCTTGCCATCCTTTAACCTCAACCCTGGCACAACCTAGTTTATGCAGACATTTCTCAAGTCTTAAGAATTTCAGAAGTTAATTACAGATCACTTGTTTTCCTTGCATCTTACTTTCATTCTGAAGCATGTTTTTTTTTTTCTTTTTCCAGGAGAAAATTTCTAAAGCTTTAGCTGTGAAAAATGAGTCCATTAAGGGTCTTGAGACTGCCATTGAACAGGAGAAGAAGGAGCAGTGGCGGATTGAAGGCCGCAGTTACCTCTTTGACGCTAAGCGGGTACGCAGTTCCAGCTCTGCTGTTCACTCACTATACGTAACCTGGGTGTCTCTTCAGTTACTAACAAGTAACAAACCACTTACCCTCTGCCTGTTGCAGACAGGGCCGGTTCCACTGCCTGATCCAGTGACTTTTGCTATAGACTGTGTTGTGCTGCTGGTTTGTATTCTTGCCAAATGTTAACCCTTTGATTTCATCGTTTTTGTCTAGAATAATATTGCAATGTTGCTGGAAACTAACTATCGAGAAAGATTACTGACAGTGTACAATGAAGTAAAGAAAAGGCTGGACTATCAGGTGGCTGTGCAGAATTTAAAGCGTCAGAAAGAACAAGATCACATGATTCAGTGGGTGGAGAAAAACGTTGTTCAGAGCATCACACCTCAACAGGTACTTGCTTTTTTAAATCTGCTTTACATTTTAGTCTCTACAACATTTGCTGTCCGGTGATTCTGGCTTATGCCAGAAGGTTATAGGTCATCTTCAGGTGACTTCCAAACGTGGCTGCAATACATTCCTGCTCTGGAGTGAGAGCTAGCCAGCACAGGTACTAGGTACCAGATGCTTGTGTTGCTGGCGATTCCAGCTGTTTCACCACCTGTGGTGGTGTTGCAGCACAGAGCTAAGCTTGTGAGAAGATACATAGTTAATGGGGCAGGGAACTCACTTGTAAAATTCTCTGTGGAAAACCATGGCAGCTTAAGATCTGCAGGTGGGCTCTAGATGTCCTTTCTTTTAAGGAATGAAGCTGAGAAGAAAAAGAAAACATGTTTGTTGCACTGCATGCAGATGCTTTAATGCAGGTCATTGTTTGGATTTGAATCGCTGACTTCATGAGCTATAATTATATCCCTTTTAATCTGTAACTCATAGGTCTAAAAAGGACTATTTAAAAGGCATTCTAATGCACATGTTGTTCATTTAAATGTCTTTATTCTGAAAGCTGTTTACTTTTTTCTTGCAGCAGAAGGAGAGTATTGCAAAGTGCATTTTGGACCTGAAGGCACTGTCGAAGAATGCACAGGCAGGAGTGTAACCACGTCTGATTCCACTGACATGTGTCTCACTACTTTCTGTTGGAAATTGTATGATTCTAAAGCATCATTAAACAAACAAACCAACCACTCTGCTGTCTTTCACTAGCAGTAGCAACAGTAACTCCTTTCTGCGTTTGAAGTAGCTAGGTTGGTCACTTTATCCACTGCAGTTAGTTTATTGTGGGGAATTACTTGCAACCACAGTGTATGCAAATCTCTTTGGTTTGTTGTTCAGTCATGAACACTTCCGGAGATGAGATACAGAACTTCACAGTGAAAAATTCTGGTGCTGATACAGCGGTCAGTTTTTGATTTGGAATTCTGTGTGATAATGGCCTATAGGTATCTACTGTGGTTTAAGTGTGTGCTGAAATCATGAGTGCCCATGCTCCCATTCACCTAGTCTGATAACTTGGAGGAATGAATGTTCTTGTTTTAAAAATCAACTGAAAACCCCACTTTCATAACAAAGCTTCAAATAGTGATGAAAGCATCTTCCTGTTTGGTGGAAAAGAGGATGTAGCTGGCAGGAAATACACCAAAAGCTACTGGAAAACTTGGCTTTAACTGAACTCACCAGTATTAAGTTTAAAACGGTGAAATGGATAAGTTTATTCTAGAGGATGAGTTTTTCCTGGATTTTCGTAGAAAAAAAAGCTGCTTTTTTTTTGTGTAATGAGGAAAATAGTTTTATGTGTATTACGATAATACACAGTATAAGCCTTCTCATTTTCTTTTTATAGGAAAGTTTTTTCTGTGAAGGATTTTGTTACATCTCAAATGTCCCAGATGAGCAAAGCGCTTACCTATGTGTAATCTCATCCTTTCTGTGTTGGGAAGCGATTTATTTAGTAAATAAACTTAAGCAAGCAGACAGGGGTGTGCTTATGTGCCTCTTATGCCGATTGGTACTACAGTAGGGAAATGCTTAATTTTAGTGGAGTTAGTAAAACAGCACGGTTTTCTACACTTCTGTACAACAGTTAAGAGAAAAAGGTTAGAGTAGAACCTTACTTAAAAGTGAACTAACAAGATAAGCATTTTTTTTTTTCAGATCAACAGTTCCTGAGAACGCAGGTGTTTTTCCATTTCCTGGGTTTTTTAATTAAACAAAAAAAAAAAAAAGTGAAGTTGCTCAACTTCCATATTTGTGTAACCCCACATTTGAATGACACTCGAGCTTTAACTCGTTTGACAGAGGTTCTTTTTGCAAAGCAAGCAGTTACACTGCAGTGCTAACGCCTCGGAGTTCTCTACCAGCAGGTGAGCAGCAGTTCAGCGGTGGGAGGTAAGACGGAGCTGTAGCCCTCGCTGTCATTACTTTCATTGCTGCAAACACTGCACTTTAGACTTGGCGTAGGAATCGGGGGTCTGCACTGTGACTCCTGGGTGTGGGCAGCAATGGGCACCAGTAGAATAAGACGACAGCAACAGAACAAGATGTTTAATGTGAATAACTTGAAAGTTTTGCTGACAATGTGCACTTTGTGAGCCAGGCAGTGAGAAATACCAGGGTAGGAATTTTGTAGTAGGCGGGTATTTCCCTATCTTCAAGGTTCCACCCCCAAATCTGAGAAGAAAGTTATCATTCTGACCTTGGTGGAAAAAGTCAACGTAACTTGAGAGAAAAAGGGGCATTTCTGTCAAAAGCTGCCTCTGATTATGAAAATACTCAAGAAGTTCATTCGGTTCTAGCTGCTGCAAAAATAATACTGTGGGTGCTTTTTTTAGTTATTAAATATACTCTTACCCTTCTGAAAGAAGACGGCATGTTCATCACGAACACGCACATGTGTGCACAGAAACGAGACATGGGGAAGTAAGATTCATGCTGAATAACTGCCGGGTTTGCTGCTGTGGCTCTCTGCCAGTTAGTAGATGTCTGAAAAATTAATAGAAGCTAAGTCTGTGGGTTAGAAGAGGGTAGCAGGTTTGTTTTGCTCTAGTGTGTGTGTGTGTATATGTATATAAATACAACTGCTTTTTTTCCCCTCTCCCCTCCTTTTAGCTTCTCATACTGTTCATTAGTGTTTGGAGAGAATGGGAAGTGGTCCTTCCAAAGCAAAAGCAGGTAGTTTCTTTTTTAAAGAATTTTCTTAGATGCAGTGTTCTTGGCTAAGCTGATAGTGCCGTGACTCAGGGCTGCTGTGGGGTGGCTTCACGGGAGATGCATACCTTTGGGGAAGAGCCGCATGGCTGCCGAGGGACAGTAGTGGTATGAATACATTTTCCTCTCTGGTGGTTCCACCTGCAGCCCTCTGATAGAGAAATGTTATGCTTACAATAACACTTCCTTGAATAGGCACATGCCTCTATGTAGTTCTTGTTGCTTGTAATATTATTGGAGAAACTAACAGGTTTTAAAACCAGTTTTTGATTTTTTTTTTTTTCCTATTCACTTCCAGTTACACCTGAACCCATTTCCACTACTGTCACTGTACATACCACTGTATATACCTCTGCAGCTGTCTTAAAAGAGCCAGAAGTCAAATGCTGGATTGACAAGTAAATGCTCTACCTTTATTTCCTGACTTCAAACACAGTTTCCTGAGACTGTGGACTCTTCCTGCAAAAGAGGAGTTATATGTAATACATTCTACGTCTTGGGGTTTTACAAGGTTGCTTAGAATTTCCTAGTCTGTGCACTAGATATTTAATTCATAGTGGTGCTTAATGGAGATACACACCTTTTAACCTCGTGGGATAAATGATGTATTACCTTTCATAAAGTTTGGTAAATTTGAGCACTACTTATTCTCCAACGCCTCTGTTAAAAGGAGATTCTAACACTATTTTCTGTGTATCAACAGCCATGAAATACTCTACATATCGTTAGCCTTTATCTCTGGCATCATGTTAACTGTTCTGATTTTTGCAGTCTTCTACCTCTTCAGAAAAAGTAAGTGACACAGTGGAGGGAATAATGGCAGCACGATGATGCGGACCTGGTGGCAGAGAAGTGCTTAACATCTTGTGCTGCATGTCTTGATGTGAATGGTGCTAAGCTTCCGTGCTCTCTGGGCTGCACCTTACAGCACTAGGGGTTCAGAGTGACTTCCACAGACCATGTCTCCTCTGAACAATTAATGGATTCATGAACAGGTCACTCCTGGCATTAATCATCCCAGGGGCTGTTCTTGTGGAAGAATTAACGTCAGCACTGATGAATTGTGGTGCTCTCTGTTGGCTGGGTTTGGTTTGCGGTTTTTTTTGGTCCTACCACTGGCCACACAGAGGTCTCACCAAATTCATCAGTCGCTTTCATCCAGCGGGCAGGCAGGGACGTGGGCTGCTGAATGGCTCACTTGGCACTGGAGGCCTGTGGCAGAATTTACAAGCTACGTCTAAGGCACGTGCTCCCTGCTGCCGGTCTGTCACCCCGCTCTTGAGCCTCTCTTGCGTTGCTGTCTCCAAACGTGGTGCAGGTAGCTGAGACTCGTCTCCCTCTCCTTCCTAGAGTGTAAGAGATCCCACCAAAATGTACAAGAGCAAGTCCACTTCCAGTCAGTGACTGAGGAATCTGCTAAGAACACCCAGGTAAAGGTCACAACTATTATTTCTAATACTTTATGCAGAGACTTCATATTCTTGATAGAATGGTAAATATTGATCAGAGGGCGAGAAAAGATGTTTGTTCTTGTGGGACTCAAGCGTTCGTTGACAGTTCTTTTGACTAAGGAGAAGTGCTTGCTTTTGTGCATCCAAGGCTTCAGCCTCTGTTTATAGCAGTTCAGGGAGTTACCTGAAGAAGTACCTGGACAGTAAGAGGAAAGATATTCCTTCTCTGTTGTCACAGGGCTCAAATGCCAAACTCCCCACGTATTTCAAGGATTCTGGGGCTTGACTAAACCACTAATGAAGCAGGTTAGGGGAAATCTTTTTAAAGGGCAAGCATTTCTGCAGTTTTCCTTCATGATACTGACTCTTTGGTGGCCCCTAATGCTGAGTTGACCCAGGATCCTGAGCTAGACTAACAACTGGTGCCATCCAGCATGGAATTCGCTCCTTTCCCGTGTGCAGGGACAGACTGACCGCTTATGGTGTGTAGCGTTGAGGACAAATTGAAAGCAGGAAGATTCAAGCCGAGATGCGATGCTTGCACACTCTAATATTTATGGCTTTTCACATCCCCAGAATGAGGTTGCCTACACCACTCTGGTCTTCCAGCAGAGCCGGACGCCAAGGGCTGTGTGATGATGAAGTTTCTACTGAAATGAAGGCGCTTTCACTTTCTGAACATCAAACGCTACCAGAACATTACATCGAGGCCTGTAATGCTCTGAGAAATGCCAGCACTGCCGTATGTAACAACAGCTTGTTTTATGGTTATAAGGGGAAACTAACGTCTCCTATTCCAAACTGCTTGTGAACAGTTGTGGACAAATTACTTTTTATACTGTATTTCCTCATCTGTAGAAATCTCACTGTACTTGTAAAGTTTCCATGTGTGTCTCCGCTATTGCTTTGAACTACCAAAAAGAATTGAGAAATGAAAATGTTACTCTATGTCTATTCATGTCTGTGTCTTTGTTTCCCTTTTCTGTCACTACAGTATTTTTCATGGTTTTTGTTTGTCAAGTGCTCTGATTGGTTATTTTCTGCTTATTGAAGTTATGATAATGAAATATTTTTCTGCAGATGTCTGCTTCCTGATTGGGTCACACAAAAGAAATGCACAATAACAGTGTGACAGTCAGAATTTCTGGAAATGTTAATTCACGTATTGTTACCCATAGTGTTCTAAATACATTGTAAAAAATTAAAAATCATCCCTGATTCCTGTCCACTTGGGCTGGTGGAAGGTGTCCCTGCCTGTGGCAGGGGGTGGGACTGGATGGGCTTTAAGGTCCCTTCTAACCCAAACCAGTTTGTGATTCTGTTTGTGTGGGTGCTATTGTAAGTGCCTCTCCAGGGGAATCCCTTAGGCAGGACAAGCCCCCCGGGTCTTGCAGCCTCCCATGCGCTGCCGCTGAGGACAGCAAGTCTGAGGTGGGAGAGTCTTCCAAGGAGCGAGAGTGGCTGTGCCAGCTGATGGCAGCACGCAGCCACGGATGGGCAGCTGGATTTAGCTCGGCTGAGATGTGGTGGGTTTGGTGTCTTTCCAAGAAGCACTTTGCAGAGCACTGGCTCCTTCTCTGCCAGCTCTGATGGCTTGTCCTGCCTTCGTGACTGCAGAAGCTGGTGGAAGTCTGGGGGACCACTGAAACAGCCCATGCACAAACATTATGTTCTGAAATCTGGCTTGAGAGGTGTTGTGGGTGAGGCTGCTGACTGTTTTACAGGGTCAGGAGTAGAACTTGCAGTCTTTGTTTTGCTGTTACCTGCTCTCATTTCAGTCATGGCAATTTTTTCAAGCGCTATTTAATAGAGAAAACACCGTATTACTGCTCAAAATGGGCAGTTGCTGAGAGGTTCATGAAGGATTAGTGTGGTTGGTACACAGTTTTTTTGGTTGTTTGTTTAAAATGAGTAATAATGTTACTCTGCTACCTGACAGCAACTGAGAAATAAGGTCTGAAAATTTACCTGGCTTGCACAAATGTTATTTCACCATACCAACAAGAATGCTACTACCTTTCTGTGTTAAAGTGCAAAAAAAAGTGACTCACCACAGAGTTTCCCTGAGACCAGCTAGGATGTTGGGTTTTTCATGTAGATGTTTCTTCGCCGTGAATTGTACCGAGACTTGGCACAACCCTTTCATGTACTTTGAAATGCTGCCAACCCCAGTGCAGCGATTTTGTGTGCCTACCTCGAGAGCTGAGGGTGGGCCGGCCCTTGGAGATGGAGGGTGACAGAGAACCTCCGCTTGTTGCGTGGCTGCTAACGAGTCCCACACTCATCCCAGAGTGTGAGTCTGTCTCCCCCTGTCCCAGGCCAAGTGCTCTGTATAGTCACACAGCGTTTAATGGTAGCCATCAGCCAGCCCTCTGTTTTACAGACAGAGGCATCTGGGACCGCTCCGTCTGCTAATCAGAAGAGAGGTGGGGTTGTGTGTCCTCTGCTTTGCTATTCTGGCTCTCCCATTTTCACTATTTCAGTAGGTTTCTGCTAGAGGTGTTTGTCCTTGTGGTCTCCCTAAAAACAAGCTTTCACAGCAGGCATGTGCAAGGAATTTGCCTGGGTATGGGATAGTCCAGTGCAAATTGTCCAACCCTGGGCGGGTGGGCGGAAATAGCTCGTGGGTCAAACGGTGCTCTGAAGGCTGCGTGGAGGCTAGTGGCCTGTGATATTCCCTGGCATTTTAGAATTGAGATGCTGTTGCAGCGTTAAAAGGGTGGATTATTAAAGCTCCAGTGATGACTTTGGTGTGACTGTCAGGCTGCGTTTCCCTCAGCCAGCCGTGAGTCAGCTCTCACAGGAGAGCTAAATCTTTTGCTCTCCCTGAGTGATATTTGAATACACGTGGACTGTTGGCATGTGCCTTCACCCATCTTCACGTCCAGTTCAAGCATTATTCAGCCCGTTTGGTCTCTGCCTGGGGCTGAACACCACAACTACTTCCAGACTGACTGCTGGAAGTGGGAACCAGGGACCTAGACCTGCATGAAGGTTTTCCAGCCGGCTGATGAACCCGCTCCCGCGGCAAGGCAGCGGCTCCGCTGGCTGCCCCACGGCGAGAGGCTGGCTCCGGCTGCGGAGGTGTCCTGCTGCTTCTCTGAAAGGTGAGCTGGTGCCTGGGGTTGTCTCTCGGGGGCTGAGCAGGGTCAGGTAGCTCGGGAGGCTGCTCTCCCTCCTTCCAGAAGGCAGGACAGCTTCCCCTGCTCTCGGGCCTCTCCGTTTCTGTTCTTTCTCCAGACCCTTACGCTGCCTTCTCTTGGATTTTGTCAGGCAGCCTGCTAGGAATGTGGTGCGGTGTTGCTCCCTCTTTTCTCAATTTCTCAGAAATACACAGGCAAAGCTAGCTGTGCATCTTTCTAGTGAATCATTTTCTGCTCTTTAGGTGGGACCTGGTTTTCTGCTGAAAGCAATCGGTTCTATCAACTGATAATGAGACATTATTTTGCAAAACTCTGATGTACTTATGCAGCGACTTCCTGTGGTGGCCCATTTATTAATAGAGTTGAACTGTGCAACAGGGCAGAGCTTTGGCCTGTGACAAGGGTTACATCAGATAACAAATTGAGATGTCTGATCTCAGCTAAAGGAACAGACGCCAGCACTTTCCGAGATAAATAACAGAATGATGCACTCCCTTTTCTAGATCACTTTTATTATTTAAAGATGGAGAAAAGGGGGCCTGGCCTTTAATGAACTATTTTAAGTGTGACCCATGTTCCCTAAAAGCAGGGTGTAAGAGCTGTGGTGTAATATTTACTGCAATTTCTGTGCCGTCCTAGTCAGGACTCCGACTAAAACAGTGCAGAGATTTCACACAGGCTGCTTTTTTGATTGTTGTGGGAAACAAGCCGGCTGATTTAATATAAAATCCATCTAACACTTATTATTATTCTTGAAAATGTGACAACACTGCAACACAAGTTGACCAGACTCAAATTTAGTCTAAATTGACAGAGAAGACAAAGGGTATAAAAATAATCAGCGAGGACATGCCTGGACTGCGAGCTGCTCTATTACCAACAACAAGGAACATATTTATCCTATTTTTCAGTGGACCCAACCAATCCTTATGTAAAAAAACTAACACTGGATGAAATTTTTCTGAAGTATCTTTTCTGTATTTTGGAACAGTTTTAATACAAAGACACATATACATCCATATTTACATATACATTTAGAGTAGTTTTCAGATCTGTAACAGGTTGTTACAAAAAGAGCAACTGTTCTTCAGGTTTACAGAGGAGCCTTGCAGCAAATTACATTTAAATCAAGTATTAGGAAAACAGTTAGTGATTATAGGGAGAATTAAGCATGGGAATATGCTGTGCAGGAAGAATCCCCAAGCATTGATGTTTTTTAGCAACAAATTAGGAAACACATCCTTGACAATTTTAGGATAGTTGATTCCATTCTTGGTCAGGTAGCTGGGGGAGGAGGGAAGAACTTAAGGATATCATTAGTTTATTTTTTGACAGTCATCTCTTCCTGGCGTGTTGCCCTGTCCCCAGCGTATCTCATTAATGAATAGCTTCAGTGTGTTTGGCAGTTTGGCTCTTGCCTGGTGCTCTATGTCTGAGGTCCACTCTGCAGCCTTCTGGGGTGAGCGTTGTCTTGATTTAAAAGCCATGAGAGTCTCCCACTGACAGGATCTCCCCCAAAGGAGAGGAGGGTCACAAAGCCAGTGCGGCTCCTGGCCTTTCAGCCGGGCTGGTAATTTCACTTGTGCAGGTCATCTGCAGGCGGAGGTGTCCCAGGAGACGCTATCGTTTTATTGGGCAGGTGCTACCGGACCAAAAAAACCCCAAACCGTCAGGGCTGTGTGTAAGCAAAGTTCCTATAACTGGGCAAAAGGAGAAATCGAAATTATAGCAGAAAGACTCCAGTTGACTTGAGTCCAAACTGGAAATGAACAAGCACTGTTTTTTAGGAGCTCATCACAGATCTGAGCTAGGAGCACAAAGTCTGCCTTGTTAACACTGCTCTGGGTCGCTGGTCTACCAAATAATGCTCAAGCCAATAAATAAAAACTGGAAGGTCCTGTTAAATGAAGATGCTTGCCTGGAAGGTCTGGGCTTGGTACAGCAACCACCACGCAGAATTCTCTGGGGTACAATATTGCAGAAGATCGTAAGTGATGCTTTTGAGCTTGATGTCAAATGTGCATCAGATTGTCTAAGAGGAGCTTGCCCTTATCATAAAACAGTTCGTGCAAGAGCAGGAGTAGATGAAACAGAACAAACACTTTCCCATGAGTTTCTTAACAAAGCAAAGTGGTTTATCAACGGTCTGGTGTATACTGGCGGGTCAACGTTCGTTCTTTATTTATGACTGTTGGTCTGTTGTTTGCTCTGTAAGAACTGGGTCTGGTTTTTTGCACAGGATATAGGTCCTTAAAATTAAAAGGTACGTGTTTTTGAACTTCTTTATCTTGCAAGCATAGACAATGGGGTTCATGGCAGAATTGGCATGGGATAACAGGATTCCTAAGTACAACAAATACGGAGGGATCTGACACTCGGGGTAAAAATAGGAAATGCAGTTTATAATGCACAGAGGCAACCAGGATATTGCAAACAGGAAGAGAACAAGTGCTAGAGATTTGGCTGTCTTGAACTCCTGGCCATAAAAAGCTCCTGCCCCTCTCACGGTGGTTGTACCTTGACTTAGCTTTGTCCGGATGATGTAAAAGATTTCAACGTACAGAGCACACATGATGAGCAGAGGGACGAGCGTCCATGTGAAGAAGCCAAAATACACCATGTAATCCATCCTCATCACAGAGGTAAACTGACACCTGAGAAAGTCAGAGTTCCTTGGTTCTGTTTTGTTCCATCCAAACATGGGGACCAAGCCTACCAGGAGGGACAGAGACCAGCACAAACCCAGTGCCCACCAAACTCTTCTCTCTGTAGTGATGATCTTGTATCTGTTGGGGAAGAAAACCCAGACCTTGTTAAACAGAAGTGTTTAAAATACTTAAGGATGGTTTCAAGAACTTGCATGTTCAAATACAACAGGTTAACTGTCACAAAACAAAGCATTAACTTTTTCTGGGGGGGAAACCAAATCTTATTTTGAGACAAGCCCTAATTGTTCATTTGTAACAGTTACTTTGCAGCACCCATAAGAATAACTATGATTAACTTCCCTTCTTTATAATTGTGATGTTCTCAGCTGTTTCCTTTCTTGTTTCACTATGAGCTTAGTATTCCTCTTGCCTAGATACTGCTTTTTTGCTGTCAGCAGTCCTATCTTATTTCTCAGCTTCCTTGGTTGTACTTTAGTCTTTGCAATTGGTTTATGCCATTTGTGGGACCAAACTGTTCTTTCATTCTTCAATTCTATAGGTCCTTTCTCCATAAAAAATGTCTTCTTTAATGCTCGAGGTTATGCTTTCCATTTCTAGCTTACGTACTTTTCCATTCAAAGTGAACGTCTTACTAAGGGCTAACTTAAGATGTCAGTTATTTCTTTTGTATTTTCAGCAAATGCTAAAAGGAATTTTATTTAAATGACTAGCCTCAGAAACCCAAAGAAGTCTGTAGTACTCTTGGCATCCTGTGCAATTAACAAAATATCTGACGAATTCAACTGTTTGAGCACAGACTCATCCTGTGGCCGAATTCTGACTGGCAACAACAGGGAGCTGTCGGCCGCACACAACACCCCGGGGAGGGATGTCCGCGCTGCGTGGTTAACTGCAGGGAGTGGTTCCTGTTGTAGAAAGCTCCTCTTAGGTGGGCTTTTGGGCACAGGTATTTTCTCCATGTGCAAGCATGCCTTTAGAGTAAATGTGTGTTAGAAAAGTGCCAAGTTAAGGAGGAGAGGGGAGGCGTGGGGCATGGGAGAGCTGGCAGGAGCGGGGTCTGTGGCGGTCCAGCACTCACCTGGTTGGCAGCTTCACTCGCAGGTACCTGTCGATCGCGATGGCCAGGAGGGAGAGGATGGACGCGTTAGTGAACACCACTATCAGGCAGCACATGAAGAGGCAGGTGTAGAAGTGGACGCTGATGCCCAGACTCACCACGATGGCCAGGGGTATGACGAGGAGCCCCACCGCGATATCGGCCAGCGCCAGGGAAACGATGAAGTACAGAGTCGTGTTCTGAAACGTCGAGTTCAGCTTCACCACCCAGATGACCAGGATGTTACCCAAAGTGGCAAACAAAGCAACCAAGCACTCGGTACCGATGTAAATGCCATCCAGGCTGCTCAGCGCCAGGCTGTTGTTGGCATGGCGAGTTGCTGGAGGCGCTCCCGCTCTGGCTTGAGCTGCAGAAGGGAGCATGGACATCGATGACCGTGCGCGAGATTCGTTCTCCGTGCCCGGTGCTCAGTTCTTCCAGTGACTCTCCAGCATGCAAACCTCTTCCAGTATTTCACGTCCTCAGCACTTGGGCAGCAAATCAGCTGTTGAGCTCCTACAGAGCTGCAAATACCTTAGCATCCAGGAAACATTCTCCCCTCTGGGCACAACTCCTGAAGCTCACAGCATCCCTTCAGCAGCCTGGTATCAGTGAAGTACTTTGGAAAGCTATTTTGAAGGTAAAAAAAAAAAAGGGAAAGCTTCCGCAAGCCTCCTTACCAGCAACCTACAAACAAATACTTTAACTGCTTCCTCTTCTAAGCCACAGCTTCAGAAGTGGGAGAACTGTAACCAGAGTTGACTGTGCAGAGCTGTCACTTATCAATCTAGATAATCGCTCTGCAGTCACTTTAGGAAATGAGGCAGTTCAGGGGACGTTAGAAGGGTGTTTCGTTAAATTCTAATACTTGATTTAATAGGGTATACTATTTCAGTTAAGGCCCTGAGCCGGCCAAAAAATGCTCCCATAATGCAGGTGACATTTTCAGTGAGAGCCCTCACTGCTGCTAGAAACCAGTATGATGACCAACCAAGTCACGTTCAGCCAGTGCCACAGGTTCCTGTGCTTTGTTTGTGGAAGACAGAGAAAGTGAGGAAAGGTGTGGGAGGTGATGGGAAGTCGCAGGGAGGAGGTGTGAGAGCTGGGATCCGCTTGCTGCGGGCGAGCCCGGCAGTGCGTGGTGCCTTGCTCCTTGGCATGGGTCTGCAGTGAAAGAGCTGCTCCCATTTCTGATGAAACTGCAAAGAGACACAAATCTGTGGGCTCGTGTCAGCCCGCGAGCTGCAGGGTAACCTGGCTCTTTGGCACAGAGAAATGCTTTCTCTTCAGGAATGAGCAAATAGCAAGTAAACAATCAGGTGCCAGTGTATCGAAGCCTTAAGCAAACATGGGTACTATTTGGTTTCCCAGACACTGAGTCCCTCCATTTTTTCCACCCAACTTTCTGGTAAAACTGGTGATGGAGAAGTGAAATCAGCCCTGGGAGGAGACAGAGCCAGAAATAAGTCAGACTTCTTTATTCTCTGCTGTCAAAAGAGTTGACAAATTCTGTTTCCTTGAAATCAATGCAAGTACTTCTTGTTCCCTGACTGGAGGGAGTTTTGGTAGGATTACTTCTGGGAAAATGGTGAGGTGTCCATAGACAGTCCCAGCCTGCAACTGAACTTGGCTGTGCTGGTTTTCTAATGAAATCTGGCGCAGGTTATCTGTGGGTGCAGGAGAGAGACCCGAGGAGAGGCATGTGGTGCGAGACTTTTGTAAGCTGAATGAGCAAATTCTCTAGGGAGCACCTGGGAAGGAGGGGGCAGCAGGCACTTTGCAGCTTTGAGCTGACATGGGAAATGTCTGTGTCCTGGCTGCCAGCCGCGCTTGGGCAAGAGCGGTCCCCGCTTCCTGCGCTCGCTGTGCATCTCCTCTCAACCTCAGCTGACAGCTTCCTTTTTCTGTCACCTACTCCTGTGGCGGCAGCCAGATGCCTCTCATAGAGACAGCTACTGCAAAGCTGAGTTACAGGGGCCTTAATAGTGCCCACCCTCCTCTGCTGCCCTGTGCCTGCTCTTAACACAGCTCCTGAGAACAAGAGCTTGGCACTGCGTGGGGCCTTAGGGGAGCAGCTTGTGTGACAGAGTCAAAACAAAATGTTTCTCCCTCTGTTTGCCTTGTGGTCACCCAAAATCCAGCTGACCGTCTTCACATTTGCCCTCCTCACCCCTTCTTTGTGGCAGGGGAATGGACTAGATCACTCGAGGTCCCTTGGCCCTGTTTTCTCTGGTGCTACACCTACACTGCATGTAATATAGACTGAGCAGGCTTTAAAGAAGCTTGGAGACGGAGCAAGCTAGCTGCAGTGCAGTAGAGCTGAGCATTGGCTAATTCACCCTGGTAGGCAGCACAGAGCACCCAGCTGGGGAGGAGATTGTGCATTTGGGACTGAACTAGAGTAGCAAAATAGCACACGCAACAGGTAGCCCCTGTGATTTGTCTGTAGCTTGATGCTGCCACTATATGACGTTGACTCTTCTGCAAAAGCACACGTAAATGTGCTCAAACCTCAAGGGGACAGAAGGAAGGATGTTGTAGGGTTTGCTATAGAAGGTCTGATAAATGGATCTCCATCGACAATTCGATCTGCTTGTCTTTAAAGAGGTGTGTATGCAGACTGGAAAGTGTGCAGAATTCTAAATGAGGGGCTTAATTTAAGGCAAATCAGGGACGAGCTAGCTTCTGACCTGGCTGTTGGAGGAAAAAAAGATAATTCAGCACAAGATTTCTTAATTTTGGATGGAAACAGCCTCAGGTGTCCAAAATGTCAGTAGGCAGCCCGGATGCGACCTATATCGTGATGGAGTCTATTACTGGAATTTCTGCGGTGATGGGCAATGCCTTGGTGACCTGGGCAGTGAAGCTGAACCCAGCTCTGCAGCAGACCACCTTCTTTTACATCGTTTCCCTGGCACTCACTGACATTGCCATGCGGACCCATGTAGTGCCGCTGGCTGTCGTGGTCAGTCTGGGAGTCGTCATCCATTTCTACTCCTGCCTGTTCATGTCCTGCCCGATGATGGTCTTTTCTCGTGCCTTGATCCTGTCTCTCCTGGCCATCGCAGTCGACAGGTACCTGCGAGTGAAGCTGCTGACCAGGTGAGTCCGGGCAAAGGTCCCGTCTCATCATCTTTTCCCCATTGCTCTCCTCCCACATATTTGTCTTCTCCCTCGTTTGCAGCATCGTAGGGCTTTTCTGGGCATCGTTGGTTCTGTGAGAGAAACTCACACAAAGGCAGCGGTTCCCAAAGTGTAGGCAAGGGAGCACCAGCAGTCTGAGCACTCCTGGAAATTCAGCAATGCCTGGAAATTCAGCAATGCCTGGAAATTCAGCAATGCCTGGAAATTCAGCAATGCCTGGAAATCTTAAGCTACAGGGAGTCAGGGAAGGGTTGCTCATAAATGTGTATGTGCTCGGAGTCTGAATAAGGTAGTGGTTTTTTTTAGGTTTCCCCCTGGGAGACAACCATACTGCTTTACTGATACAGGTCAGAATGAACCCGTGTTTCTGAGGAAAGGACTTGTGCACTGCATCTGTGGGTTCTCACCATTTAAGGGGGATCAGCGACCATTTAGAAGTTCCCCCATAGTTTGAAAATACATTTTAAATGTCAGAAGCTGCTAAGGACCAACTGCGCAGAACTGTGCTTAACTCGAGTGAGGCCACCAGAAGCGGGTGCTTGCAAGCCCAAGTTCCTGCAATTCTTTTTTTTCTGAAGAATCACATCTAACATGGCTAACGTTTCCTGCCCACCCAGGTACAGGGCAGCCGTCACGAAGAAAAGGGTTTGTGTGCTTCTGGGACTCTGCTGGCTTGTGTCCCTGCTGGTGGGGCTGGTCCCCATGCTGGGGTGGAACCAGCACATGAGCAGCTCCAGCTGCATCAAGTGTCACTACTTGGCTGTGATGAGAATGGATTAGGTGGTGTATTTCAGCCTCTTCACTTGGATCCTCCTTCCCTTGCTCATCATGTGTGCCCTCTACACCAAGGTTTTCTACATCACATGGGTAAAACTAAGCCTGAGCTCAGCAAGTCCTCCAGGAGGAGGAACGGTTTTTTGGAAGGAGTACAAAATAGCCAAATATCTGTCCCTCATCCTCATCTTGTTTGCAGTGTCTTGGTTGCCTCTTGGCATCCTGAACTGCATTTCATACTTCTGCCCTTCCTGCGCCATCCCGCAGCCTCTGGTGTACCTGGGCATCCTGCTGTCTCATGCCAACTCAGCCATGAACCCCATCGTCTATGCCTTCAAAATACAGAAGTTCAAAGAAACATACACTTTCGTTCTGAGGACTTACATCCTGCTCCAGAAGTCAGAGTCAGTTATTTCTAGCGTGGAGCGCACAGTGAAACCAGGAGTGAGCACCGTGTGAGCTGTGCCCCGCTCATCAGTCTGTCCAGGCTGGATACAACAACCCAAACAGCATGGGAGTGACAAGAGCGGGGGGAAAACGGCACAGACACCAGGACACATTTCTCAGATCACGCTCTCCGGAGCAACAGTTGGGTGCATATTTCTGTGTTCAGCTAATAAAGCTCTGGCAGTGCGATGGTGAGTTCAGGTTCCCAGCTAACTCCCAAAACAAAGAACCTCCTTTGCATTTCTGAGGCAAAAGGTGGGAGAGGTTTGGGACTGAGGGGATAGCCCGATGGGGGGCTGCGGGGGGCGAGGTTAGGGTTACTCTTGCTAATGGGTGGTTTGCTCTGTTAGTAACAAGCGCTGCTGGGCTCTGTGGGCAGGCGGCGGGCTGGGAGGCAGCAGTGGTCCCCACTGGTGCCCTCCCGGGGTACCCATTTCCCAAGCCCCAGCCCTCTCTCTCGGGCTGCCCCAAATCTTCCTGCGGCTGCCCGGGCAGGAGCCGGCTCTGCAGAAGCTCAGGCTCTGAAAGGCAGCACACGGCTCTCGCACGCAGCCTGCGAGGGGACTCCTGCACCAAACCTCGGCTTGACAGGAGCCCTGACACGAGCTTTTGGCTCTACTTTTGCCCCTGCTAACAGCTTTTCCTTTAAGAGTATTTGCTTTGGCTTTTCAGCTCTATTTAAGGAAAGTGTTTCTCAAGTTGGTGGAGCTAGGAGGAAATACTCTGGCGTGTTGCCACGGAACAAACCTCTCCATAAATGCTAAGGTACTATAGGATGTAACAAGAAGGCGGGCCCCGGCTGCCAGATTTCTGGTTGCACAAAGAGCAGCACAGCAAAGTGCAGTCAGGAGGACCCAGGCCCGGGCGGGGGGCTCGGAGGCCGGCTGCTGGCAGGACAGTGCATCACCCGCCGAAAATACTCTGGCCCGGCTCAGTGGGGCAGCAGCACCCACTTGTGGAAAGGTGCTTTGGAACAGAAGGAAAACAAGCAGCCTTTCACAAGGCTTTGTTTGCACCAGCCCATAAAATTTAATAGCATTAGATCATCCCAGGGCTTTTTCTTAGAAGGCAGGTGTTCCGTGGGGACACTGTCTTTGTTTAAGAGATGCCCGTAACGCTGCTGGAGCTACCAGGGCACAATTTGTCTGTCCTTTTTAGCAGTTGCGGACTGCAGATGTGTTCAGAAAACCGCCCACCTTCAGTAAACCCGCGTCCATGTGCCTGCGCGGGTGTGTGACCTGGCGCTGGAAACCTGCCGCTGGGCAGAGGGAAGGGGTCTTGCTTCGTACCCAGGCTGAGCAGGGCAGTGAGCCCACGGCTCCTGGGCTGTAGGTGAGGTGAGAGACGCTTCGCCAGCTCATTTTGGGACCCTCAGGCCAGACAGGCTGCTGCGGCCGTCGCTGCGAGGGGAGGGGACCGTCGCCTCCCCCAGGGGTGCACGGCTCATCTCTGCGTTCGTTGCTCCCCGTGCTGCTTCGAAGGAGAAATAAAAGACCCGAAGGAAAAAAGCCCTTTGGGCCCCTGTCCCCGCTGATGTGGCCGAGGGTGATGCCACCAAACCCAGCTGAGCTGCACCTGCCCTGACCGGGGCCCAGCCGGGGCGTTTCCGCCCAGCACCCCCAGTTCCCACCGGGTTCCTGCTGGGCAAGGCACAAGGTGCAGTCATTTTCTTCAGATGTTTCCTCCGCCAGGCAGCATCTGTTTCCTGTCCTAAATACGCAAGATCCGGGCTGCCAGGCTGCGGCAGCTCCGACGAGCCTGTACCCTAACCCCTGCTTCGCCCCCAGCCCAGGGGCACCCCCGGGGGGCTGCACCCTCCTCCTCCCGCTGCCCTCCGCCAGCCCCCGCGCCAGGGAACACGGGGGTTTTTACAGCTTGCAGAGTGATTAAACACTCCCTGCGCAGAGAAGCCAAATGGGGCCGGGGCGTGGGATCAGGGAGCGTTTTGGTGTGGAAACCGGCTCTGCCCTCCCCTTCTCGCTATTTATTTACAGGCATCCAACCCCCGGTCCCGAGCGAGGGGTTCCCTCCTTTACTGCTCTACCAACTTGCTCTCCCGTCAACACGCGTTGTGCTCCCGCCAAGAGGCTTAGGGAAACATATGGCTGAGCTCAGGCAGCAGAGCTCTGCACGTCGGTGCTGCCAATCCTCCGTTTATTGCTGCTGATGGCCACGCTCTCTGTGTGCGCACATGTGGATACATATCAATAAATGCTGCCATAGTATATAACCCTTCTGCTAGTGTGTTGGTGTGGTTGGAATACTTTGGATGCTTTTGCTGCCACATACGGTGATATTTTTTCATAAAACCAGTTGGGATTTGCAGCAGGGTGCCTCGCGCAGGCCGATGGAGCTGGCAGCAGGAGGGACAGTGCGTGAGAAGGATCAGGCTCGGCTGCACAGGGGTCCAGGATTCATTTTTCCGTTCCTCCGTGGTATCAGGTGGGCATCAGCCACCGAGCAAAGGCAGAGAGTCTGTCGGACATCTCAGCAGTCTGTTCTAGGCAAGAGGGAGGATGATGCTGAGCGGGACGATGATGCTGTTTTCATCAGCCTCTGGGTTCGTGGCTGTCGCTGGGAATTTCAGCACCCGCCGACCCCCAGCCCCCTCCGGCCACCCGGAGCAGCTCTGTCCCCCAGCGCAGCCGCGGTGCCATCGCCAGCTGTAGTTCAGAGCTGCGTCCAGAAGTGCTGGTGTGACCCAGCCCCAGGCGGAGGAAAGGACCAGACCCCTCTTTGTTCTCCACCACCTTTTCCTCCCCATCCCGCTGCGGGGCAGCGGGCTGGCTCTCCCGTCCCCTGCGCCTGCCCGCCCGGGGGGCGAGGAGCCCTCGCAGCCCAAGGGAAACTCAGCGGTGGATTTGCTGCCACACAAAACTACCCACCCGTGAGCGGGGTGCAGCTGGAGTAAGTTTGTGAGCCAGCAACTTAAGGCTTTGGTTTAGATTAGGATTCGAAGGTGTGTTTTTGGATCGTGTTATTTAGGTGACACGGCGGTGCCCACTGAGCTCTGCGGGGAGGGCGGCTCGAGGAGGAGCCCGTGCCTGGGGCAGGTCGGGCTCTGGGGAGCACGGGGGTGTCCTACTTTGGTGGGGTTAAACAGACTTTCAGATCCTGGTCCCCCAGCGCTTGATGGATTTGCCATTTAAAGGCTGTAGTCAGCTTGCTTGGTTCTTGGATGGCTCCAGCGAAAGGCTTACAGCTATTCCCCAAGGGTCCTCCTACATCCTGGTGAGATAAGGATCAGGAAGGGAACGGTCTATCTGCAACCTCAGCTGGGGCTCTGAGCACAGATTCCCTTTCCACACTGGGGGTGGAGGGGAGGAGAACAGATTTTCTAGAAAAGAAATTATTTCTAAGTGACACACAGATGCAGAAGAAAACAAGTAATCCCACAATAATGTTCTTATCGTGTGAGCCCACAGCAGCGACAGCCGCCCTTGTTCTGGTGGGGCTGTGGAACACTTGCAGGGAGAAGGAGGGCGGCAGCCCCCTCGCAGGCAGCCCCGCTCGGGGCTCGGGGGTCCCGGCACCCCCCAGCCTGTGCTCCCACGGTGCCGGGTGACCCGGCTGCAGCCGAGCCTTGGCACCCAGTCAGCAACGCTCTGCACTCTCATTCCTCCTTCCTTACTACCCAGCAGCTTCTGCTTTTGTGCCAGGAAGTATGGAGGAGGGGGTTTTTGAGTTGTTTTTTTTTTTTTTTTTTTTTTCTGGGACTTTGAAATGTAATGTTTACCTTAAAGGAAAAAAAAAAAAAAAAAAGCAGCAGCTCATAAAGCAAGAGGTGGTGAGCGGTGAGTGGTGTCCTGGCTCTTCCCTGCCTTGAAAGGAAGTGAAAGCAAAGCAGAGAGAGGATGTGAATGTGAAACACGGCAACATCTGGTTTAACAGAGCGGGACTGTGGTCTGGGGAATAAGGAGGCAGAGCGAGTCTGGAGCCTGGTGTTG